CAGGCGTTTTGCAGAAAAATACATTGTGCGTCTAGCCGCCGGCGTAGCATAGCGAACGTCTATTGAACTCAATGTTTTCGCCTAGACATGGGCGCATATGTTTATCTTCGTGATCAGTCGAATAAATTCACCGTGAGTTATTGGCTCCTCGCTGAGCGCATAGTCCACATGCAAGCAAACCCAAGGTTTTCGAAATCGGCCGCTGCTCTTTAAAACGTTCGAAGATTTAGTATACGTTGAACTACAGAGTGTCCATTTGTGCCATTGTTATCAACACTTATGCGTATAAAAGATGCTAATAATATTCGTGGCACATTTACCCCACTACCAAATTTAGTATCACATGCCTCAATCCATGTTTTATGCCAGCAGAGTTGTATGAGAAAGGCAGCCATTCGTAGGCAAGTGAAATATCATTTTCTAAGTGAGTTTTCCTAAACATCGACCTGAGCGCACAAAGAATAACGCTACATTATAAAGGGAGGTGTTAGTTAGCTGGTTAGATTGATTTGCGAAAACGGCGAGCGTAGCAACGTGATAAAGTAATCGGGTGTAACAGGCGAAAGAAAGTACGTTGACCTCCACAAGTTAACTATGGCCAGTTACCGGAGTTTAAGCGGGATAATTTGAACAGAAGGCCGCATCTCACGCCTGAATGCCGATAGAGTACACAGTCCTTTGGAAAAACATTTTCTATTGTCCAGTGTCAAGTAGTGTTTCCGAAAGATTTGAGGTTACCACTAGGCTACCGTCAGGAAACGACTTCCGAACGCATGACACCAATAATGGAAAAGGCCTTGGGGCCGATCTGGTCTATTAGAAATTTGAGCTCCTCGCCCATTTTACCTAGTCAACGTGTTTTTCCAATCACTTGCAGATTTTGGCTACCGGCTGTTTTAGTCCACAGATGCCTCAGCGCAGATACACAAGGATACCGGAAGAACGGTTTTAAACAACTCTAACGCTCAACCAAGTGAAACTAAGTGAAAAAGTCTATGTTGTAAACTAATTGATGTAGCCTTAAGATAACGAGTAATTTGGTAACTAGCAACTTGTTAGTGTGAACCAGATAATTAGCATAGTCCTGCAAAGTGATGTAGGCTGATGTTGGCTGATTGCGGTTTGGTCAGAATGGGGACATAAAAGGTTCGGCACTCCATCGTGTCCTAAGCACAGAATTAATTGGAGCACACAATCCCAATCCAATGGCTTCAGTCCAACACGTCCTGGCAGCTATAGAAAGATCTGCGGCGACGTCTATGAGACGATTTACTATACGAGGTCCCACGTGGGCTCCAGCATTCGGATAGAAAAATGTCAGTCACGACTCAAGTCCACTCCGCCGAGGGACAGAAAGTTTTGTGACGCTTCTCTCCCACTTGGGACCGGAAATCTTGATGTTTATGTACGGAAGTCGGTGGGGAGAAAATCATCATCCTTATACAAGGCCTGTGCCCCTCCTTGTACAATAACTATTCCCAAATTTGTTTTGTATCTGCTTTAGAAATGTTCTAGGACTGTTGGCATTGAACAAGGAAGACAAGAGGGGATTGGTAAAGTCGAATGATGCGGTTCACCGAAGTGTCCTTCAGATCAGCGACCACAGAAGAACCTAGCGAGCATCGCTTGGCATGGCTTGCATACAGCACACTGAAAAGTAAGACGAGGCTGAGGAAGAGGAGATTACACGAGCGGATATGGACGAAAACAGGCTATACTGGTTACAATAGGTTCGTTTAGCAATAACGTCTAAATGAATACCATTTGGGGACGGGATTATGAATGTTTTAGAGCTGTCGCGACTATCCCGCCTTAGGCCAGGGTGTGCCAGTCCCCAAAATCTGTCCCACGTGACACCGTCAGTGAGCTTTCAAGAAGTTACATGCATCCCACGAGATGAGAAATCCTTTTGCTCCGTCAAGCGCAACGACAAAAAGTGATAAATTTGGAGTTCGAAGTTAGAGTTTGGGTCGCCGGACGGACAACCAGCAAACTGCTGCGACACGGCAGCTGATGCTCCCAAATGGGAAACAACATTAGAGACAATATATGGTTGACCGTAGCATTCCGATCTGCTCTTCGATTGATTTGAGGTACAGTATATTTATGGAGGGGAGTAACCAAGTCTCTCTTGGTCAGCGTGATGGATGGACAAAGCCCAAAGTGGTGATTAGGCACGTAATGTCCACTTTAAAACGTGCGGCGATAACTGGTACTGTGGCTAATTCAAGTATAACTCCCAGGTCAGTCAACTTGAGGATACATACAGCTTGCCGTCTGAGTACTCATGAGTCTTACAAACGAAACACCACTGAAAGAATTGTGGGCGTAATCCTCTATGGGGCAATAAAAGCATCCAGCTACAGAGGTGGCCAGCCCCGTGTTTTCTGGAAACGGTTGTCCATGAAGTGCCTGCACTCGCGCTAAGGGCAACTTTGGTGTGGACTTGTGGTAGATTGAAACGGAAAATATTACATATAAGCTATTTATAGACGAGCATTGTAGGCGTGAAAAAAGTTTTCGCACCGTGCAGATCACTCCAACAGACAAAGATGAGATGAAGTTACAGTACAAAGCTTCTTGTTGCGACGCATGTCAGGTAGTAAGCATCTTTCAAACCACCGGTTTCTCGAGGGGCTCGGAATTTTGTGGTGAGGCATTTTCTCATCACCGCAGATGAGAAAAAGCTTCGCCGCCACGTGGATAGAAAAATATTCCTGGTTCAAAAGATATCCAGCTGCTTGTAAATCTTTGCGCGAGCTATGTGCGAGGCACCCTGGTACTCTCTTGCATTACGTGGATCCACTTTAACTCGCCATGATGTCCAGAGGCGATACTTTACGGTGGAAGCTTACCAGCCTTTGGCTTCTCACTCGTGGATTTACCCGGTTTATTTGTTGCACCCATGGGCACTGCAACTTTTCTCCATCAGGTGAACACTGAATAATGTTAGTAAAAAACTTGTGTTTCACACATGAACTTAAGTTGTTTAAGTCACCATTCCATCAGCGCGTATTCGCATGACCTTCAGCGTTTCGTCATGTCGAGTATATTTTTGGTATCTCACGGAAATTTGAAGTCGGATGCTTCTGCAACAGATGTTCAAAATGCGTTGCACGAAAGGTGAGGACTTCCTACTATTTCAACTAAATCTGTGGCAAATAAGGTTGAAGGAAATTTCTCAGCAGATAAAGAAAGATGGAGTATCGATGCCTGACGTTTTGCGTCCACTTACCCAGCATTCCATACTGCAATGCTTGATTGGCCCGTCACACTTAGCTTTCCGGTTGGAAGACGGACGTGTTTGCCGGGTAGCTTATTCAGTGCGATCTGATCGGTCGTCCACGAAGCCGGATTTGAAGTACGTTATGTCCGAATTTGGATATCGTTCTCTTAGGCGAAAGAATACAACCTCCCAGTTTGAGACTTCCACTGCAGCTCGCGACGCATCTCGAACAGCGAGTGGGCAGTATGGTGTGAGACCGCACCGCTCTCCTTTCAGTGTCCTTAGCCGGACATCTCGAGGTATCAGCTTTTTGCGCGAAATGCAGCGACAAGGTATATATCTCGCTCGCCCAGTCGCTTCACAGATACCAGCGAGTGAAGTTCCTGAAAGTCTCATTGAGGAGTGTCAGACTGTACTCGAGGTGAGTTTTCATTCTACTCTGACGAATTCATCGTGGGCATAGGCCGTATGCCTAGAGAACGAAGCTATTTTTTCTTATTCTTGTCGCTGCAAATCAATTTTAACATTATGGTTATTTTTAACCATGTCCGCAACTGACCTCAACTGTCGGCACCCACCTTTCACCATGATGACGATAGGACATCGTTTGCACCACGTCTCAAGCCATCAAAAACGATAGCCTATAAGAACACCGCGGTTGATTGCTTTTGTATTACCGTCAGCTCTACTTTGATGTTGCTATCTTTGATGATGATGATGATGGGTCTGAAAGTCATCTTATTCGACGTGAAAAAAGTAAGAGACCCTTCAACTAGGAATCCCGGTAGGTCATCATCATCGACAGCACGACATCAGTGTTCAACACCGATGCTTCACTGCCGTACAACCATGACTTATTTGAAAGCCTTATTGTAAAGAAAAGAATAACGGTGTATGGGGGAGGGACTTAGTGCTAGCTTAACACAATCATTCCGGGGTGCCTACACCTCCAGACATTCACTCAGGCAATCTGGACAGAAACTGACAACAAGAACGCCACTGACATCGGTTGGCAGCCGTATCTTGTAGTGTCTCCAACCAGGCATAGTGAGGATCACGCGGTCCCCATCCTGGAAGGCGAGTAGCACCGACAGCACCCAAGCGTTTCGTGATCTCCTTCATACTCTGCCAGATCAAGGGGTGGCCACCTCTCTGTTTACGCCACTCCGAATTGGGCATGGAAAACAGTACTCTTTTCGACAAACGATGGTTTTTCGGCATACGTAACACATGTCCCAATCAACGCAGCTTCTGGTGCTGGACACATTTTTCAATGGAAGTACCCGTTACAACCGAAAACACGCTTTCTAACTGCCTCGTTACGTATTCGCGGACACCAGGCCACACGAGCTATGGTTCTGAGACAACGACTGTCGGACACGTGAAGACATGTTTCGCAAACGCGGCCCGAGCGTTGCAGATTCGTGCATTCACCTCATCTGTCACACTACGATCAGAACTAATACAACTTCCAAGGTATGTAAAACGCTCCACAACTTCCAGTACCTCTCCCTGGATCGTAAGGTCGTGTTCAGTGACTGCACGTCCACAAGCATGACCTTACACTTTGTGGGTGCAAAGTGCATATCAAAGGACGGGATGACTTTGGTCAGTTCATCCAAGAATACTTGCGCCTTCTCCGTCTCTTCGAACATGAGAACGATGTCGTCTGCATATTCCAGATCGACAAGGTTTTCTTCATTGGCTATTTGAACACCAGGGTTTTGGAGACCCTCCAGCTTTCGTCTCATTATTTCATCGATCACAAAGTTGAAAAGTAATGGAGAGAGTGGGCATCCCTGACGGACACCGCTTTGTGTGCGGAAGCTTTTGGAGAGCTCTCCGTACACTCTCACACGTCCGGAAGTCTGAGAATACAAAGAACGTATTATGTTTACAAACTTCCGGGGCATTCCTTGGTGGGCAAGCGTCTCAAGAAGAACAGACCGGTCAACCGAGTCGAATGCGCCTCGGAAATACCGGAATACTAGAATTGTAGGTCGCTTGTACGTATGGCGTTGTTTTAGTACCTGACGCAGTGTGAAGATTTGGCCAACACAACCCCTACCAGGCCGGAATCCCGCTTGCTGCTCTCCAGTCAGTATCTCGCGAGCCACCGTAGGGCGACGAAGCACAATTGACGCCAACAGTCTCGTTACGACCGGGGTCAAGCTGATCCCCCTGTGGTTACCACACTCATTACGCGCCCCTTTGAAAATGGGCACTATCACCGATTCCCCCCAGTTGTCTGGGACAGACTCTTCCCAAATGCAAGCAAACAGATCGGACAAACGCTGACTGAGGACTTCCCCGCCGTCTTTGAACAGTGCGGATGGAAGGTCATCCGGACCGGGAGCTCGGTGGCGCTTGAGAGAACATATGCAGTCGTAAACCTCCGAAGCCGTAGGTGGTTCCACGTTCACCGTCCAGGGTTCTACTTCACCTGTGGACTGTAGATGAGTGCCGGCTGGTGGCCAAGACATTTGTTGTTCAAAGTATTCAGCCCACTGGTCAAGGCGTTCCTCCTTATTCGAGATGGTCGTTCCATTCTGATGTTTGATGCTTTCACTCACAGGTGGTTTCCGGGGACCGGTCGCATGGATCAACCCGGATCCCGGTAGGTAATTAAAGACAATCAAATAATCGTTCAGCTGTGCCTAGCTGCCATGCCACCCGAAGAAGGCATGGGGGCTGGGATACTGCTAGGTTTCCCAAGCCTAGACAGGAGAAGTCGGGTTCGAACCACGGACCATCCGATCAGGAAATTCGCACTCTAACCACTGAGCCATTTCGCCCAACCCCGACCCTAAAGCGCGATTTTACGGGTGCATCTAGGGTGCCGGTTTTCGAATCAGCCTTGATACATGCTTCACTGCCGCACAGAACCAAGCGTTGAAAACGCGATCTAGTGGACTTCGGTGTATCATTCGCGGTCCTTCAATCTTATTTAAGTGAATATTTGTTGATTCGAATCAGTACTCTCCTTTTATCTACTTAGATATTTGTTCTCGACACTTATGGGGCATTTATTTATTTTTTTGGAATCAATAGCCGTTTAGGCAGCTATCGCTTTATTTTACTCATAACAGGCTTTAATCAGTTGCATGCTGTCGTTATGTTCACGTTTCTCGAAAACGATGCTGAACAGGCAATTGAAATGCCCTTTCTCTTTTTAAGGGTAAATCTCGGCAAGTGATAATCAGGGAGTTACAAAATACCAACTTGGATGTGAATATGGCTGTCAACAACCTTTTGTCTCGTGACGATGAAGCTGAACAGTCGAACAGTGTTTCCGGTGATGGCACTAGTGGCCTCGGTGGCCTCGGATCGGGATCTGATGACTGGGATGATGAGTCCATGGATCTATTATCGTTCTTCCAATATCCTGACAGCCATATACTCTTCGATACAGACGCGATGGTTCCAGATGAATTGATGGAACCTCCAACATCGCCTCGTCACAGAGGGGAGCTTGCCAGCGACTACGGTTCGATTTCCGTTTTATTTTATCTGGGAACGCTCAGTTTTGCAACGAATCGCTTTTATCTCTGAAGGGATTCCAAATCTACTTAAGTGATATTCTCCTCATAGTTCAGAATCACCTTGGTGTTCACAATTTTGCCCATTGTTGCTTTTGTTACTTTCCCTATTTGATGTGGTTCTAACGGCTTTCGACCAATCGCTCCGGAACAGAGTGTTCCGAACTGTGTAGGAGACGTCGATAGTTTATTAGTCACTTTCTGGGTGCAGTTTTCACCGAATGATTGTTTTTATTGCTTCTTGTGCGCCTCTTCTATGTATTTACAATGATAATTTGTCGTGCGACCAAGCTTCCTGTAACAGCCTTTTTGGCCCAACCACGTGCTTCATGGATAGTCAACTATGGAACACAGTCATGGGCCAATTTTCGTAGACTTGTAAACATGAAGTCGACCTGTTGCTGTTTCTGCATCTTTTCGTAGCTTAGCTACTTTCTCAAAACTTTTCTTTGGGAAAAGGTCCCTGTAAACATAGTGTCAGACATAAAATTTTCACCTCTGTCAAACGACATGTATCTGTACGTATCTGTACGCTTGTAAGCCCAGTGAGTGGTAAAAGGCCTCAACACGTCTGAAATTCTATGAGTGCATTGTTGGTTTCATGAAAGACGTACGTGCGCCACTGATTCTTTTTCAGAATCATGAGAGTGCATTCAGTTGAGTACAGTCGTTTTCCTTAGGTCCCCATCCGGGCGGTCGTGGTGAGCCCACAGGCTAATTTGGCGACCAATGCTTACAAACACCATCATTATGTTGTTCGTTGATCCCTCCCGGGGGAAACGTTCTCAACATAACTAAGTGCTCACAAACAAGGTCCGCAAGAAAGTTAGTGACTTGACACCTTTGAGGCGAACCCTAACGATTAGTGCCGCATTATTGCAGCACTCGTAGGACAAGTATGTTCTCTACCGAACATCGATGAAATTCGTTGCTCACATGTATACACACACACTTCCCTTCTCCGGCTATCGAAATTGCAGCAGATGGAGCCAATGTGCTTATGGTACACGGTTTATAGTTGATAAATTGAATTGAAGTGAATTGATTGATGCCTCAAAAGCAATAGTGATCACATGTGGTCAGTAGTTTCCTTTCCAAACCACCTTGAAAATAACTTCATTGAGAGAGAAAGAGTATACTGCCCGGCCAGTCTTTTTCCTACACGTTACACTTGGTGAGGAGAACCCCAATCTAAAACGACGGATAGTAGCCATCGGCTAGTCACTAGCGTCCTCTGCGTTTCCCACAATCACGAACCGGTGCTATGCTGTATGCGTACTGTAGGTCGTGGCGTAATAATAATCTGGGAGTAGCTCAGCATTTATGTGAAAAAAGGGATGCTCACGATGACGTTATCCATAAAGCAAATAAAACGGAGATGTTTGACATCCCTGTCGGACTTCTTTGAAGTGGTTTCATTCGTGAATAGTTTGTCGCACGCTGGAACTTACCGAAATCTTGAGACTTTCAGTTGTCAGTGGATTTCAACAAATTCCGTCTTTCATGAGACAGTTCTGCAATATACTGCATCCGACATCAAAAACACCTGTAATGTCAAGACCAACGGAGTCGGTGTCCGTTGTGCGTGGTACTTTCTCCGTTTTTTTCAGTTCTAATGATTCGAAATAACCTTAATGAGTTCCCAGTAGCGAATACAGCTCCAACTCCTGCCGCGTGGTTCGCTCATTACACCTCAGGTTCTGTGCTAGAAAAAGCACATTCGTAGGCTGAACAGCCAGGTTGTGTTCATGGCGAGCAGGAATAGGCTGTTGAGAACGGAGCAGTTCGAGACACTATCCAACTAGTAGAGTCACATACTTGGATACTTGTAATTTTTGAGTTTTATTGATTGTGTGACCAGTAATTTGTGTCACCACAAGAGTTATCCTTTAAACTTGAAGGTTGTCCCCCTTAATATGTCCTCAGCAGTCGTGGTTGTGCCAGATGAAATCACTCAGTTCGTTTTTGGGGCGTTCCCGGAAGCAAACAATAATTCGTGTGCATACGGGGACCTCAATCGAAGAATGTGTCCAGTATCAAAAGCTGCCTTGGTTAGGCCATGTATTGCGCATACCAGAGAGAGAGAGAGAGAGAGCGCTGTTTTCCACATCCACTTCAGAGTGGTTGAAGTGCAGAGATGGTCAACTTTTCTCCTGGCAGAGGGGTATGAAAGCGATTGCTGGGTGCTGTCGGTGCGACTCACATTCCAGCATAGGGACCGCGTGATTCTCACTACAAGATATGGCTGCTAATTGATGTCAGTATTGCTCTGGTATATTCTTCCGGGTTGTCTGATTTTACTTTTTTCTTCAAAATATGGCTTTCAAATAAATCATGACTGTACGGCAGCGAAGCATCATTGTTGAACACTGATGGCATGCTGTCGATGATGATATGATGCTGATGGTCGTGCGCATACCAAGGTAGGGTTGAAGTCGATGAGATCGGCAGCCTTACACACATCGCCATCGGCAGTTTGATCAGGTGTGTCGTGTTCTTGTTCGCCGTTGATTTGAGGATACATTGCGGCGAATACTGTACCGGGACCTGGTGCTAGACGGAAATTCCTCATTATCCATATACAGTTTTATCAGATGGTCTCCATTATCACTACGTTGAACATAAAAATATATGGACCTTCCAGGTCGCTGTACTCACAACTGAGCTGGTTTGATTTTCGGTTGTTATTACGACACTAATATTACGGGCTTCACGAATAAATGGCCTTAGCTCGAAATGAAACTCGTTTTTTTCACGGATTTCAGGCTGACTGTTGGGATATTTGTGCATTCATATGTCACTAAAAGCCTCGAATACATCTTTGAGTCCAACAGCGCACACGATACACTTACGCAAAGTGCAGGGTCTGAGTGCTCTTTCGAATGGCTCTAATGTGACAGCTTGGTTTACTCAGAAATCACACCGAAAGAGCAATGTGGCCGACCTTTTCGTTTTTTTGTTGCGTAGTTTCCTATCCCATCTCTCTCTTGTTAAGGTCACTTAAAACCGCTAGATCACGTGGCTGTGACTGCTCCCCTCAGTTAGACGATAACGCTGCTGGTTTAATTATCACATACTGTGTTCATTCAACTGCTGTTTGCATCTGCGCCCTTCAGTGTAATTTTCATGTGCTTTGTTATAGAATGTGGCTTTCTCAGTGACCGCCGAAAACGTCGTCGCATGGAATCTCAGCTTTCCAGTCGCAACAACGAGTCGGTTACTGCTCGTTCAGGAGAGTCGGGCCGCACCTCTGGTTTGGATTCCGTAAGTTTCCGCATGCAGAGAGAACTGTCAACCGTGCCGTACTGGGTGTTCATTCCAAACTTAAGACAGTGTGAATTATTGCTTCATTCTTTCTTTTTCAGACTGGCTTTGAAAGCGGTTGTTCGACGCCGACGAGACAAGCTATACAGCTTGGTGACCAGTTGGAGTTTTGGTCTAGTTCAGACAATCATGAATTGGATTTGCAGTTTTCCCAAATTGTGGCCCTCCATTCAGAACTTGTTGGTTTGAGTACTGCTGGCGAGCTCCACCAGTGGCGTTGGGCAGATACCCGCCCGTTTTCGGCGACGGCTAATCTTAATCCTCACTCCAACAAAAAGGTTTGCACCTGAAAGTATATTTGAAGATGTTTTAAATTACGTATCCACTGTGACGCACTTTGAATGTTGCTTGTTCCGATTTCTCCGCCTAATCACCCTTATCGGTGCTTCGTTGCCATGTCATCGGTTTATTTAGGCGGAATATCACTAAAACTCGCTTTTTGAAAATCCTAACAGAGGAGGAAGGTGATCTAATGCCAAGCTACCAGCGACTTCCCTGGATGAACTTATTTCCGAATGCACACTCAGGAACCATGGCTAGAAACTGACAACAAAACGCTCTCGGATCCCGGTACACTCGATTTCCTTGTGCTCGTGAAATGTGTATGATTACCAATGTCCCGTCAGAAGGAAATGTACCGAACTTTTCCAACTGGCCGCGGCTAAAACGAAGGGTTCTCGGGGCTTTATACGTTCGATTAACAAAAGGTCCATCGCCGATAGATGCTTTTAACAGACTTTGTCAGCATATCCTAGAATTTCACTTTGGAGGTCCAATTATGCAATCACTTTACGTTAGTCCGACTATTGGGTAATGCACCAGTGCGCTGACGGGATGTGCCTGCATATTGATCACCATCATCCTGGCCGTTACTAGCAAGTATTCCATGTGTTAGCTGTGGTCGAAAACAACAGTTTAGTGTTGTATGACAATGTTCAATTGTGTCTTCAGTATCTTCCGTCCTTAATGCGACGTTTACACATCACTACTGTGTTAAGGCATCGATCCAGTCAAACGGAAACCGCTATTAACCCGCAGCAATATGACAACAGTGCTGGTGAAATACTATTTTCACATCTGATGGTGGTCCCCCACAAAGCAGTTACCTCCAATTCATGACGCCATCACTCTGCTTTATCAGGCAAACAAAACAATTTAACGCCATCAAATTGATTGGGCCGTCGCCTCAGGTGCTCGACTGTAATTTGCTTATTCCGCTCCCTGAACGAAAATGTACCTGGCCGCTACAGCTGTACTTTAGTACATGATTTACAGTTAAATAGCTAGCTAGCTGGCTGACTGACCTTTTTCGCGTGACTTGACCGGTAGAACTAGGTCAGTGGCAGGAGGCACTGTCACCGTAATACTTCGGGTGTCTACTCTGCTTCGGGAAGCAGGTGTTATATATTCGGTCCTAGGGGGTTGCTGTCGGAGGAGGGGGGAATAATAGAAAAATCCCGTACCACGAAAATGGTCTCTAAAATAGGTCTCTTAGGAAGTTGTGTCAGGCGGAAATCCACACTAATCTCGCAGTCAGGTGCTGCTACGGCTGAGAAGTGTGTCCCGCGCAAAACCCCCCAAAAGTTAGGGACGCTTGCCGGTCCGGTATCAAGCCGATTGGTCGGAAATCTGGACCCAACAGCCAACCATTATCTACTATTGGCCAAATGCCGGTTGCCAATGGCGCATCCAGAAGGCGTCAGAATTTCCAGAAAGTTGTCGCTTCCTACACTATATATATGGAGCGTTGTACAATCGTTTTTTACTTCGTTTTGGGCCCTAATATACCTTCTGCACCTTTGGTGGTTGTTTTGACGTGAATGCTAGCTTGGGAAGCTTAGACCGAGAACTAAGCTGGAGAAAATATCGTTACTACAAGTTGTGTATCACTCAATTCAGTGTTGCAGCATTTTAATCGAGAATACTTGTTTGCACATCTATCCATGTGAGACCAAATTATCTTCGTCCGTGAAACCTAGTCATAATTGTCTGGTCCCACAGAACATTGTCTTATGACCCCCTGTTTTGTACTTCATAGCCTTTGCATAACGGCTTTTTCCCTGAGAAGCAACAGTAGCAATAAAACATCGCTCCCTAAGCATGGTGAAACACAATCAGAACCAGTCATTGACAGTGTTGACTTGTCCGCCCCCACGGCTATTTATAGCAATGTATTTCGGTGTGTTGCCTCCAAAGCTTTTCAATGGCATGAGCGAGCACCACGTTTTTCGCCTCAGGGTAGTGACAGCTGATTGAATTTGAGGTGACATTATTGTCAGAACGGATTACAACACAAATCTCGTTACTCCTTTTCCTTAAACAGACTTCCGAAAGTACCACACCCATAGATAATTGGTCCCTACCCACCCGGGTCGATTCAAATTCACGACAGACAGCCCAGTACTACCATCCTCGAGTTCCTACTTTAGGTCTTCTGGACGAACGCATAGTGCGTTTGTCTGGTTGGGCTACACGTGCAACTGTACTGACGGCGTCTGGGAAGTTGGCAACCTGGATTGACGAGAGCCTCCTGCGTTTGTTGCCCGTGAACACCACTCAACCAAACTCTGTCTCAAAACTCTTAAGTTTTGAACACCGGGCCACAGCCTTTCATGAACTGCGGGACGAGAACATTGTCGAACTTCATACTGCACCATTGATAACCGTTGTTCGTTGTCACTCTGGAGCGGCATACTGGTGGTGAGTTCTACATTCTGTTGCTAAAAGTTCCATGTCACGTTCATATTGGTGACATCTNGTTCTTTGTATTTACTCCTTCAGGGGCATCTACCCTCCCTATCTAAGACAACGTACCATTGAAAAATCTAGACAGCATAGATCAAATGTATCTCGAAGCGGCAACACTGGTACCAAACCGATGAGGCAATCTGCTCCCAATCGATCTAACACTGATGCAGTGGTTCCGGTTTTTCAAACCCATTTCCGCCCAACATCTCTGGAAGTAGTACCTGGGGCATTCGTGCGCATGAAAAGTGCACCCATTTTCCACGCTGGAGCCGTGGGATTCACAGTAGTGGGTGGAGTCCCGAAGGTAAAAATTAATTATCCATGATACCAGTTCTCCTGGTTGAGTTGATGTTTGAAGGTATTCTTTCTTTTTATTGTAAGGTTTTATCTGAGTGAATTGATGTGAATGTATGTCAGTGAAGTATGATGTGGGGCAATCAGACAACACGGAACCCAAGTTAAAACTAGCGTTCCACATGCTGGGAACACTGTTAGTTAATGGTCATGCGAACTCAGATTGTACGATTATTTGCTCCAATCAGTACTGCCATCAACGACTTCGAACAAATGTAGATTGAGCGACCAAAAGCGCACATATTTGAACGTCCAACGAAGCTTGACAAGAGCTAGAGGTAGTGTTGTTCATATAGTAGCCCTCGGTTTTGCACCAGTAAACTGATATTCTTGAGTGAATCGAATCTTTTTTTATCGATTTCTGGAAACGCAAAACCTGTGTTATCACACTAGTGATGATGGATCAGGGATATTGGTTACTCTTCCTTCTGGTAGTTGTCAGGGTAACCTGCGTAAGTTGTTCGCGTATAGGACTGTCGACTGCAAGGGGTAGCATGATCCAGACAAATCTCTTGGGAAGCTATCCGCACAAACCCAAGTGTTTTTTGCTCAATAATCCCGTCGTGCATCCACACTGTCTCCATTTTGTACTTCGTATCCATCGTCTTCGCCATCACCATCATTCGCAGCAGCACTGCATAACTACCCCCAACCGTATCAATTTATTCAGATAAATCCCCATAATAAAGACAATGGCAAACTCGTACGAGAACGGGGCCTATTACCAACTTACCACAAACATCCAAAACGCCCAATTTTTGGGCTTAGGGTTTCATTATTGCGTACAATGAAGACGACAAGCGAAACAGTGAACGATAAACATGTGGCACGGGATCCTATATATCAGCAAGGTGATAATCATTCTTCAATTTCCAGATGAGCTGTCTCCTACTCCTTTCCAGCGCTTTTTAACCTTGGCTCTACATTTTGTGTGTGCTCTTTTGTTCTACGAGGTCGGTACGTTGCTTGAAGACGCCTGGAGAATAACTGATGTATGTCGATTCCGTGTCAATCCTGCCCAAGGAGCTCCTTCGGGTATACAACAACTAGATGGTGTATCTGGTCAGACCACATCTGTTACTACCGATGATCCGGTTCAACATGCTCTTACGTGTCCTCACGCCTTGGCTGCCGCTAGCGCAAGTCCCTATGCTACCCAGTCGACAGGTGGATCGAACGCGGCCTTCGCTACTGCAGCATCTCCAAATCCTTCCTTATCAGAACCACAAACCTCATTCCACGAAATGCCACCACCACCGTCCCCTGCTTCGTCAACTTGCAGTGACCAGTCCGGACCTGTGCGTGTTAGTCCAGGAACTTTCAGTACGTTCGATCTGGCAATTTCATGCTCTTAAGTCCATTTTTCTCTTCGAAATCAATCTTATCTTTTTTTGCCCCTTACTTTTGTTAGAGAGGAAAAAGATATCCAGCACCTCCAGTGATCGGGGGGACCGTGGCGCCAGTGACAACGAAAGTAGTAGTCGAAGCACCCGAGGACGTTCCGCCGACCGGGAACTCATCAGCTATGTATCAACAAGCGCCAGACGCCAGGCCAGTTCAGTCGAAGCTGGCAACGACTTGGTCCATAAGATACAACTGACTGCTGTGACAGTCGAGGAGGATTGGTGTCTCAGTGAAGTCATATTTGTGGAGGATGGTCGTACACAGCCTGTTGGAATTGTTTTGAAAGTCGATGGCAATATTGCAGCGGTCCGCTTTCTGAAGGTAACTATGATATCCGTCTGCTTTCCAAGTGAAACCAAGAAACGAAGATATTTAATTTATTTAAGGCCCAGCTCCTATTGTTTTCTGTGAAGTCAACCCGGTTTACTGCCCATTGTGTCGTTACCTCCCAGCCACATATTTACCATGTTGATGCTCTATTTTAATACATGACCTGTTTAGGTCATTGTTATACAAGTGTTATCGAAATTCACTAGCGTAATTGCCCAGATATGCTTATAACCATTGAAATTCCCCAATTGGAGCCTTACCTACTTAATCTCTGCTGCAACAAAACCCTTTTTTCAACCACAGGATCAGGAACGAGCTTGTCTTGCTTCCAACTGCCCCTACTCACCGGTGTGCAGCCTCGTTCATAGCATCATCAACACCGGATCTCAGAACCATGCTTCGTCGACCAACAATAGTCCGGCTCTACCGTTAGTTTCGCCCATATCCACCGCAGCTTTTCCTGACCCGATGGCATGGGTCAACGTAAGTGTTTTTGATATCCAGGGTTTTATGGGAATCGTCTTTAGGTGATCGTCCTTGATGTAATATGGCTGCATTGCAGCACCTACTCGCTGCCTTGCGGCTTTTTATCTACGTTTGGGTGCCCTGGCGGTGTTCTAGCCCGCTTACAATCACGAATTTCACGTCTGGAATACTTGCTACTGCACCACTTACCGCGTTGTGCCGTCAGCTAGGTCGCCTTACGTGTGTTCAAGTGGGAAAATTTCTGTCGGCATACGTGGTGACCCTTGATGTCTATTCTTGGTTACTGTTTTTCCTCTTCGTTCCTTGACCATGGGTTCGACCGAATGCCTTTGGTTTCGATAGGCCACTTTGCTTGCTCGCAAAACTCCTCTGAAAACTTTTTGCCCTAGTTTAGGTAGAATTCAGTTAGACTCGTCTACTTACTGAAATCGGGAGATTAAATGTAACGTGGAACGATTCCTCTTTCGTCGTTTGTTTAAGTAAAAAAGTTTATGGTACACATTTCCCTTTTCAGGATTGTCGACTTCTACGCAAAGATGACCTGGCCGTCGTAAAATACGCTGACTCCTCCCGCGTCCCTGAATTCGTACAGAAAACACCCAGGCGACTCTTCGCCTACCCTCATATCCCCCGAAGTTCATCGGATTCGAAATCTGCATCTGCTAGGACATTGCCCCCTGTTTCCACGCAGCCCAAGGTGCTTACGATTGCGCCCGAAAATAATCGTGTTCATGTTATTGCTGAATATTCAATTGGCAGTGGTCAACAGCAACTGGTATATCATATTTACAACTTATCTGGAAGATTGGTTGCCCATCACAAGCTCCACTTGCCGATTTCTGGAATTCAATCATCATCGGAACTGTCTGAACCCATCGTCAATTTGACATGCCCTGCCGAGGTGAGCTGGCATTTCTATGCAGTTGAGTGTTTTCACTTCATCCTAGGAAAATACTGAACAGACACTTTTACTTTGGTCTTGCCACCTATTCGACTTTTTATACGCAAATATGATTATTTACTTGTTCAAGTGACTGGTGTTGTCTATTTGACTTATTATGTTCATCTTTGGTTCAGTGTTTTGAGTTGTGGGTTGTTTTTTTCTCACCCAGCCCCCGTTCTTGCTGCGCGATTCGACTGGACTAGTCTACCCGTTCATTCCTCCAAACCGATCAGGTGGAAATCAGGAAGCTGTTTGCCGAAATTTATTGCTCGACTTACCACCAGTACAGTGCGCTGCCTTCTCCTGGCTTCACCTGGGACGGCATTTGAGTTCTTCGGGCCGGCAGGGTTCTAAGGTGCAGTCTGAGCAACAACAATCCTCAGGTTGTTTGTTGGGTCTCATCGTAGTTCGGGATCTTACTTTGATGCAACATGTGCTTCGCGCAAATGACAGTCAAGTCGAACGTTTGGTGAGTTCGCGAGACAGATCCTGTCTGCTGGCTTCGACGAATGCTGAAGCTGTCTGTTGGCTTCTATTCAAATCCATATTTCGTACTGTTGGCTTTTTTGTTAGGTTCTGTTTCAACGCTTCCACCCAATCGATTAGTCTCTAGTGATTCATTAGGCACTGGTCATATATCGTTTGTCAGATAGCCATGCTTAGTTAACACCAGATATTTTCGGTAAAGTGACCCCCTACACAACCCCTTGGGCTGCGTACAATTCGTAATTGAGATGACTCCAAAACAACCAATGGCTTAGACTTTCGGCCTAGCAAGTAAAACGCCTTCTTCAACTCCTTTAGGTCGGTCTGCAGAGTGAGGACCAATATCTGTGGATACTTTTTCATTTTGGAGGATCGGCACTGTTAAAGCATTAACTAATTTGCGCTAACTGAGGAAACTAGATAAGCTATCGTTGATGCAGTTGCTTGCTAAATCTTCCTTCTTGCTTTTTGACGATTGTTCAAACTTTTAGTTGTCTACCGACTGTGAAATGTCGGCGGAAGTTAACAGGCGATTGGCCTCGGAATTGGTGGACGGTCAGCGTAACTTAATACACATGGCCGTGACGATGTGTACGCCACTTTCCAACCGCGAAACCAGTCCTGAGTGGAATACAAAGCTGGAATCCATCTTGGCTGAAACCGTCGTTTTCCATCCTCTTACCGATGTACCCACACCGAAAGGTCATGATCCTGACAAGCACTCTCCGGTTTCTTCCAACGTTACTTTGGCGCGCCCAACGTTCTGGTAAGTACGCTGAGACGCTGTTGGAGCTAACCCCGTTACAACAGATGTCCTTGGTCCTGAGAAGGTTCACTGTATGTTGATTCACTGCCCTCCCCATCCAGGTTGCCGTGTAGCTTTTTAAGTTGTTAACTTTACTGCCCAGTGTGCTCATTTTAATAATAGTGTTGTACGTGCTTGTTTCAGGTCTTCGATGGCTCGGTCTACGAATAATTCTGGCTCCCTCAGTATGCACGAACTCTTCATTCGGTCATCGATCGCTGCTGCTGCAGTTGCCGCTGCTGCATCAGCTTCCGCTACTACCGTAGGTAACTCACGCAATGAGGACCGCGAACCCCGTCCACAGGTGGCCAACGGCACCAATTTTTGGCATCTTCCACCTGTCCGCAAGGACGAGCTAACACGTCGTGTTGCTTCGTATAGGATTGTGCGCCTACTGCTTGAGAGCTGTCAACTTCGTCCTCATCTATTGAGTTTACTGACCGCAAGAAATACCGAGAACTTGACACCTTTCATGCTCGCTATCAAATACCGAGCCTATCATGTGGCCTGGTTCTTGTATAGAACCATACAGGTGAGTTGTGGCTCCACTTGTCTACTGTAAGATGTTCGCGCCATCGTCATATAATACACAGGATTTGTGGAGTTTCTTCCGTCTCTTCCTGCCGTGCGTTTATCTGTTGTAATTTATTTACTGTACACAGCGTTTCTACAGCTCAACCATTCGTGTTCACTCAGTGATCTGGCATCTGCCTTCGAGTTGCCTATCGCCCCGAACTACGTCGACGGACTCTGGCGCGCAATGTCTAGGGTCACATATAGTTTGCGCTCAGCCGCATATGAAGCCAACTGATCTGAACCCGAGGGAACAAGATCGGAGAATGATCAGATGTCACATGTCCAAGCTGGCGGTTCATGATTGTCACTTCAAATGGGCACACCTGAATAGGTTGGCACCATAGTGAGTGCAAAAGGTCATCTGGTGGCCCTCGACGCTTCCCCGGTTTGCACATGGCCAATTAATGCCAGTAATCATTCAGCTAAGTCTACAACGATGGTCACAGGGACAGCCCTTGCTGCCCTTTGGGTGCATACCACCACTCAGACCAATAGGAGACTTCACTGTTTCGTCAGTGAGTGACAATGGTTCGGGTTTCCGACTAATCCGTTTGTTTCCACTACTTACAGTTATTTTGTATGGATTGCGCTGTACTTCACTGCCACAGTGTAGCCCCTTTGAGGAAGTCCCGTTCACGGCTTTTTCGCGTCAGAAGCGTTCTGACCAAATTGAGTAGACAGAAATCTGTTGATGGTTCGTCGATGATCCATCTAGGGGAGCTGGTGAAACCCTGATTGCATGCCAACGACGGCAAGAACGTAAATCAGCTCTGGTGGATTGGACAGATGAGATTGCTCTCAAACTCCTGGTTGCAATCACCCATCATCTGTTTTTCGCATGTTCCATGCTGCCTTGCGCTTGGTTGTTCAAAGGCTAGCGGTGCACATCCGATCGAAAGCTTGGTGGCTTTAGGGACGTTACCCGTAGCAAATCCTCATGTAATTCCAATGATAATGTCTTAAACATGAATGGAATTATATTTTGTATTGTGCTTGACTACATTAACATTTCATGCATCTTTTTATAAATAACCTGCTCTTACAATGAAAATTCTACAGCAGTGGAGCGTCAGTGTTCACATCGAAATTGCTGTTTCTGATGATGATGATGATGATGATGATGATGATGATGATAATGACTGAAGATTCGAGTGCTAAGTTTACAACGAGGCGAGATTCGTTCACTCATGCACTCTTGTGCCAGTATGCCGAATTTCTTAGTGCACATAGTGACGATTTCTCACTTCTAGAGTCAGTCTTTCATTGATTGTTCAGTTCCATTTCACCTTTGTGGATTTCACCGGTTGCATGGATGCACTTTGGCTTGTTGTGTTCACTAGATCTTATGAAACTGGTTTTCTGGAAGCCAATTTGTAGGGCCCTGTCCTCAGAAGCCAGATTCGCGGACAGAGTATATTATCATACGTTGATCGTTATCCACCAGAGTTAATATGCTCGTCCGTTTTTCTTTAACTTGGTACATAGGACTGACACTGATCTGAGATCTACCGCAAACTAATATCACTATTGCTATTGCTTTTAGTCGTTTATCACCTCTACTTCGGAGTCTGGAGAATTCTCATCGGCGCCTTACAAGGAATTCCTGTTTCCTTATGATTCCCACCCTGACGATTCCCCTCTGTTTTTGCTGTGTTATAATGACACTTGTAGCTTCACATGGACTGGCCCTGAACATATCCGACAGGTTAGTTGTACCCCTGATCATGCATCGGTATCTTTCTACTACACGTGTTATATACTTACCTCTCCATACTTTCGTGGTTTATGTAGAAAATAGTGATCACTAATCCTTACTGCCGCTGTTCGCGCGGCTAATTCGGTTATCTACAGTGCACCTATATTCTCAACTCAATGCTTCTTTCCCCTTGATGTGATGTTCTTAATGCGCACTATGAGTTGTCACAGTTTCAGCGCTAGTGCGACAAACACTTTCAACTTGGGTTGTGATGAGTATCACCAACCCGATCTATTCTAGTCAGCTTCAACCGTTGGCAGATCGTAGTCAGTTATGATAAGGACGACCACAGCCTGTATATCTCCCATATTTTCAATGGAATAGGTATCAACTTGAAGAGGACGGGAAGATTAGGTGGGTTACAACTGTCCGGAGCTGTCCGCTTCTGATGACGTACAAATAGCCCAGGAACTTCTATCACTCTAGGATATTCCAGAAAGTTCACTGAGTTCCTTAGTTTTGGGAAATTAATTTCGTGATGGTGGTACCCTTTCCAGTGTGACGGAATTCAATCACATTACCGCTTGTCAAATAGAAGAAAATTGCGACTACGTGTATACGCGTATTTACCACCATGAGTGGGATTAGATCAGGATATTGTTTGTGGATACCAAATGCTTAAGCAGTTCCTGTATGTTCATCATCATCACCATCATCATCAATCATCAAAGGAGCAGCAACATCAGTGTTGACATTGATGTTTCACCCGTATTTAAATGGATGTAGTCAGTTATGATAAGGACGACCACAGCCTGTATATCTCCCATATTTTCAATGGAATAGGTATCAACTTGAAGAGGACGGGAAGATTAGGTGGGTTACAACTGTCCGGAGCTGTCCGCTTCTGATGACGTACAAATAGCCCAGGAACTTCTATCACTCTAGGATATTCCAGAAAGTTCACTGAGTTCCTTAGTTTTGGGAAATTAATTTCGTGATGGTGGTACCCTTTCCAGTGTGACGGAATTCAATCACATTACCGCTTGTCAAATAGAAGAAAATTGCGACTACGTGTATACGCGTATTTACCACCATGAGTGGGATTAGATCAGGATATTGTTTGTGGATACCAAATGCTTAAGCAGTTCCTGTATGTTCATCATCATCACCATCATCATCAATCATCAAAGGAGCAGCAACATCAGTGTTGACATTGATGTTTCACCCGTATGTTAAATGGATGTGTGAAATCACAGGGGATGACATACCACCTGTATCGTCAGTATGGGCACAACCATTCAAAGGAAAAGTGTGGTTTTTGCTAACTGAGCAGCTCCAACGGCAACCTACCCCAGGTGCTTAATGTTGTCACTTTAGATCGGCCAATACTGATGTGTTTTCCAGAAACCGAATGTGCGATTAAGAGGAACGCTTCCCCTTAGGAGCCGAACTTGGAAATTTCTGTAAGGGAGAATGCAACAGGTAACTAAGGTTGGTTTTTTCCCAGTCTTAATGTTTCATACTTTTCGTGCTTTATCAGGATATTTTCGAATGTCGAACATGCGGCTTAATGGATTCACTCTGTTGTTGCACTGAATGTGCTCGTGTATGCCATCGAGGTCACGACTGTCGGCTCAAGCGGACGTCCCCGACAGCTTACTGCGATTGTTGGGAGAAATGTCGTTGTCAAAGCCTAATTGCTGGTGCTCAGGCACCTCGTCATGAGCTGTTTTATCGTCTGCTCAACGATACTAATTTGATCAGCGTTATCAACTCTAAAAATGAACACTTGCTGCTATTCCTGGTCAAATGTGTGGAAAGACAGCTACGTGAGCAAAAACAGCATAGACCATCCAGACGTCACATCACCTCATTAACCTCCCGATCCTCTACCGGTGCCACTGGATCGGCCACTTCAACCGCGCCCTCCGTACCGGTTACGCAGCCATCCGGTTGGGATTTGTCAGGAAATGTTCAGAGCAACCCGACGCCAGAGGAACCTGAGCATGATCTGGATCCTCCGAGGTTTGTACGCGATGCATTGGAACTGGCTCTGGACTGTCCCAAGGCAGTCGAGAGCATTTTGTTAATGGATATACATCCACATTATGAGGAGAGTTGTCGTCGGACAGCGACATCAACTACACTAGATGAAGAAAACGTAAGTTTTTACACAGCGGTTTTTCTCGTAATTTGTGGTTGGTTAAGACATATGTCGCGTAACGTCTGCTGTCGCTGGACGGGCTCGTTGATGGAAATGACCCACTCACGCTCCCTTTGTGTTCGGGTGGTTAACCTCAGTCCTGCACACCACTACAGGCGTAGTGGATTTCGTTGAATAGTTGATGGAGTGAACCAAAAACCGCTGGAGATGTCCAAGCTGACTGGATCACGTAGCGTTCATAACCCACCGTCGACCCATAGCTCTCAGCCACTTTCATGTCATGCTTACCAAATTCAGCTGTTAAGAGACTTCCGTTCCCATAATTCTAAAAGAGGCAATAAACCTTCGGAATATCCCATCTAAAATACAAACAGGTTTCATATCCGATTAAATATGTCCACCCCCTGTAAACAAGTGGGTAATCTGTCGTAAAATTTGTTTGAGCTATTTAGGTTGGTGAACACACCCGGAAAATTGGGTATCAACACTTATCCAAACCTTCAAAAGGTTACGGGGACATTGTGTGACGTTAGCCTGATAGCTGTGGCTTCCGTGGTGCTCCTTGGTCTGGTCTCTTGCAGGTTAGTTGTGCACAAAGATCCGTGGAAGTCAGTCTGGACTTCTTGAAAACATGAGTACAAGTATACATAGTGTGAACGAAAATAGACGCATGGAGAGGGACTTGAATCACTGTTCTAGAAATTGAAAGTGAGAAGCAAATTACACCAATGTCCTTAGGGATATATGGGTGATATTGCCACCAAGCCCACTCACGAATGGCATCTACGGTTAGCTGTTATTCTATTATGGAGATATGGGACTAATCAGCCGTGAATTTCAGGTGCAAAATCGTGGAGTGTGCCTGTCTCCGGCAACTCACTCAATAAAGCACTCACCCGGTAGCTCAGCGATGCAAATTCATCCCCAGACGTCTCTTTCGGTTCATGCCAAGTGTACTTGGATTATCGAATTCCCGTCTGCTATCCACCAAACTGGGTTTTGCTCGGTGAGAGAGAGTGTATGGATCGCATTTTACTGCCCGACAGATTCTGAAACAGTGACGCTAATTACGGCACCTAACTGCTTTTTGTCATCGGCCACCATGGGAATGTCTTTGGTACCAAGGTATTCCCAGAATTTCACCTCCAGTCGTAGTTACATGATGGCCTTTGATAACCCCATATATAGTGTCAGACAAGCCTTCCTCTATTTTCCTTTCTCTTCGTTGTCGAGACGATCATGTAAGACGCCCTTTTAGCTCCTGTGAGAGCGAGATGGCTCAGTGGTTACAGCGGGAATTTACTGACCGGAAGTCCGTGGTTCGAACCCGACCTCTGCAACTCGACTTTCCCTGCCTAGGCTTGGGCAACCTGGCAGTATCCCAGCCCTCGTGCTTCGTTGTGGTCGCATAGCAGGCAGGCACCGAAAGGGTGCTACAGCTAAATGATTTCTATTTTTTCCTGCGAGGTCGAAATGTTCCCATGGCGTACACAGTTATCGATCACGGATACGACATAACTGTTCTTGAACCTGCCCCATCGAAGTGCAAACAGTGACAAATGTAATTTCGTTGTGCGCGTCGTACCTTGAAAGTGTCAGCCTGGGTGGTTGTATCGATCTCGGTGATGTAGCTAAAGACGGCATTGCTATCCAGATCGGGAGGACCAGGGCGGCTTTTGCCAGCTTGGAGCGTTTGTGACGTAGACGTTGCATTAGCTTATCTGTCAATGGTCGAGTTTACAACACTACTAGCATCGCTTCGAGATGCTAAATTGAAAAAAAAACCCAGTGTTTTACCGTCGGTGTTTTTAGAGTATTGCCCGAATCTGGGGATGATATCGGATCAGCAATGCTGAACTGCGCCGCACGGTCTTCGGAGGAAACACGATAGATAGTTGATGCTACTTCGTGAATTGCTCTGGCTTGGTCACGTGCCTTGAATGCCAGTCGACCGACTTCCTCGAATAACCCTCCACACCATTTTCTGGATAATAGAAACGAAGAAGGACAGGGTTCAGCAATGACTTTGCAATGAAGTACGAAAGTCAACAAACTCTTCTGTGCTGGTATTCCTGCATGGGGAGCTCAAGACGGGACACGACAGCGGTCGTATGCATTGTCAGGTATGGTTTAGTCGCACGCCCAATGGTGCTCATGCATCCAAGTTATCACCAACACAGCTTCCCCTCCCGACCAAGCCAAATACCTTAAATGGATTCACTCCAAAGATATCAGTCATTGTCTTCACTGCGTAGCCGTCGACTCTTATACTCCAGATTATCAGCGAACGCAACTCTGTCAACTATTACAACTGTTCATGTACACGGTTTGTAGTTAATGATTTTTCGATACCATTTCACTTTCATCTCATTAGATTGCCATCCAAGCCGTGGAGAGATCTCACATTGCATTTTGAGCAACCCACCTTTCTCATAGTAGCAGAGCACATTGCAGATGAAGGTAGCGTTTTAATTAACAGGCCGTCAACGAAAAGGGCCTGGCTTTGTTTTGCATTGTATGTACCCGATGAGGCAAGTCTCCAGAGAAGAAATATTGAGCTTTTGCTCCTTGAATAGCGTGAGGGTGCATGTCCGCTTAGGAAACCTATGTTAAAACGAAACATGGATATAAACGGTGCACTATCGAACATCGCACCTGTTGTCCAGCAAGCACGCGGGTTGTATTTCAGTTCGACTGATGGCCACTGCCCAGATATATTCCCATATTGGCTGCTCGGTCTGAGACAGTGGATAGGTTTCAAGCGCAGTTGTCTACATTAGCGTGAAATGCAGATTGCATATACTCTTCAGCTCATTCGCCTAAAAGACATCCAGTTGGACCAAGTGACGAATGTGGTTCGGTAAGAGGTATAATATGCTTAGATACCATGTCTCTACCGAGGCAGTTCTTCGACTTAGCGGAAAGTGTTCATTGGCCTTCGTTTGAATGAGTGGGCTGTCTGCTAGTCTTATGGTGATTTTAAGGATAAGCCATGACCTAGTAAGGGTCCGAAAGGTTTAGGTGCTGTCATTGCAATTAATATTTTCTTATTATGATGCATCGATCGAGTTAATATGTAGTGGCAAGCACTTCCAACATTAAGCTTCACCGCACAGTACATCCGAAAAGTTCGGTTGCTTGAATTCTGGGTTTGAAGTTCAACAATGTAGCTGTAGCTGTAGCTCGGTAAGTTGGTGAGTGTGCAAGACGCGAAACCTGGTTGATAAGGCTGTAAACGCATATCACGCTTTTATCTTCTGAGGACATGAATCTGCTATAATTTTCCTGTTACACATGAGTTCTGACTTCCCGTTAACTATTACTCCATTTGCGACATTTTCAGATACTGTTCACACAAGGCAGTGCTGCGCAGTTGGACGAATTTGTGTTCACTTTGGTTTGTAAATGCCCTTCTGAGCTTGTGGACATTTTACTTATCACAATCAATCGCCAAATGACCGCAGATGTTTCCTCCGACGGGCCGGTTGTCGACAGGCTCGTATCGATGGATACGGAGTGTTTTGAATTTGGAACTCATCTTCCTGGACTTTCGCCTCGCCTATTTTCAGGGCAATCGACTGGAAGAATGCGGCAGGCTGCAGGTCGGTTCGTTCGCGCTGTTGCTAGGATCTACACGGGTCTGTCATTGGAGCTTACGGCTGATCATAAGAAGAAAAAGAGGTAATTGTTACGAACCATTTTTAATGGCATTGACTCAAACCATTCAAACTGCTTACTGATAGCTACCTCATATTTACACTTCGCTTGCTGGTCGGTTAGGTATACCTTCATTTATCAAATGTTCTTCTGGATGCTTCAGTTCGTTGTTCATGGGATTGAATCTTACCGAGGTCGTCGGGAATAGTCCGTTTGTTGAACACCTTTCTTTGCGTTTAGCGGTAATACTTTCACCGTCGTTTTGAAGATCTGAGCAAGGTACCACCTGGACGAACTTCCCCGTTTTTCACAGACAGTGCTCCTTTTTTGGTGCCTGGCTTGAGATACAGCTACTTAGTAAGTAGGTTTTTTGGGGTAACGGTACATCGGCCTGATGTGTTCCTGGAAGTTGACCGAAAAGGACCTTGTTTCTTACCAGGGGAATCTCGTTCGTAAACGGCAATTCTGGTCGCTCTGTGGGTACTTCATTAGATGTTCAGATGTGCCCACAATCTGAATAGCACTGGCACTCGGAATCGGCCTTTCGATGTTCGCAGTGATTACTAAACGGAGCGTTAATAATTTGACAATTGTAGCCCGAGTTTATCTTCAGTGGAAAGCTCATTTGGTGTACTGGGGGACGGGTTTTCAAATATTAATCACTATTGGCCACTAGTGTCTGAACCATCGCTCAGAAAAATAAACAAAAATAATCACTTACCAACCTCAAAAGATCTTATTCACCTTGCAGCCCTAAATGTCCATACTTTATGTCCACTTAGAGAACAGGAATCTCTTACTGAAACATTGCTTTCCCTCTCTGTCGATGTATACTTTGTCTCCGAAACACGCATACAAGACCTTACTTCAGCCGTGCACCTCAAGCCGCTCAGGACGAGCTCAGATGTTCCACATTTCACTCTTCGGGTATCCGGTTATCTTGACGTAATGGCTCGTGGTACCTACTATGTAGGACTTGCACACAGTCCCAAAGCTGAAAGCACCTTACTGGACATGGTTCCAGTAAACAGTCGTCTTTGCGCTGTGCGGTTGTCTGGCTCAATTAAGATCAATGCAGGTTGATGGGGTGAACGGTGTTTATTTGGCGTACCAGCGTATGCCCCGACAGACTGCAGTTCTGAGACCGAGGACGGTTTCCTCAATATCTGTCGTGACTGCTTCTATCAACAAGACGGATATAGTAATCCTTGCAGTTTATACGAATGCCCAAGTTCGGTGATTAAGTCCGGAAGGTTAGGTAGCTGATTTGGAGTTGATACTGAGCGTACGGATAATGGGGAGCGGCCTCCTCAGTTGTGTAGATCATCGTCTATTCGTTTCCAGTACAAACAGCCAACACAAACGTTCGTATCAAGTTACTTGGAGGCCACCTACCATAAGACAGTTGTGCACTCATTTGGACTATCATTTGGCTATCAGGTACCGATGGAGAACCTCAGCCAAGAATTGTCGTTCCTTCTGGTGTATGCAGCTTGACTCTCATCATGCCATTGTACGGGTCAGGCTATCACTTTGTTTACCGACAGCATTACGCGTGCGAAAGCCGAGCCGTTTCATTCATCAACTCCGACAAGTTTCAGTTGATAAAGAGTATCGGTCTGACCTGGTTAGAAGACTACTAGAAGCACACAGTGATGCAGATAAAAATTGCCTAAACGCTGAATAGAAGCGGGTTGAAGAAGCTATGCTCTCAGCTTTCAGAACAGCCTGTCCAAGCCATCTGACTCGACCAAATGAACACGATATCGACGAGATCAGTTGATCTCATTGCGGCCAGAAAGGCCATACCAGCGACTGGCCACTGTGGTGGCTCACGCAGATCGCTCAAACATTAGGTAGTCAGGAACTTGAAGAGTGATAGAAAAACGCTTATGGACTTCGAAAGCCAATTGATAGAGAAAGTTTTCGCTGCAGCCCCACACTATCTCATCTGATTCGATCAACCGGCCAAAAGAAGACAAGTCTCGGCGAAACGGCATGCGAAAAGGACGGAACAGCAATTGACTCCTTTGATCGTCGTCTTGAACGACTTAAAAAAACAGTTCAGCTGGTTTCCTTCATCACAACCACTGTAAGAACCCAGCGGGCGTGGATGGAACATCGACCTTTGCCCGCCATCAACAACAGAAATCCAGCGTGAGACATCAATCGTCAAGCACGACAAGACGCCTGCCGCGGATGGTCTGTCTTCCAGTGGTGTAAGACAAGAATACCTTTTTTCTACCTTTCCTCTTCAACTTCGTTATTTGTGTGCCGCTTGAAGTTTCTCTGCCTGTCTCTGAAACCTCTTAAGTCAAAATGCTCCCGGGACATTCCCCCACAGACACTGAGTATGCTCTTCTTGGTCCAGATCCTTCAAAAATGCAAAGCATTTTCAATAACCTGAATAACTCTGGCGCGCGGTCATGCATGCGTTCCACTCCTGTAATGTGTAAAGTGCTGCTACCAGACTGGGTTGGATCAAACCCAAACCTCATGCTTGCAGACGAGTTAGTCTATGTGGTGGATAAACTTGTTTACCTAAGCAGCGGTATAAGTTGGGGTGGAGTGGCTGGGGATGAGATTTCTTCTCGGATCAGGAAAGCCAGGGCATCATTTGCCATCCTCCGGAACCTATGGCGCCGACGTTGCCTGTCTGTCAAGGACAGAGTATACACTGCGGCGGTGCGATTCATAATGTTTTATGGATCAGAGACATGGCCTCTACGCGCAAAGGACATACGAAAAATGCCAGTGTTTGACCATCTGTGTCTGGGATGGATTGGTCCGGTCCATTGGAGAACATCGGATTAGTAATGCTAAGGTAAACGAGATGGTTTTAGGAATAAGGAACTCTCCCGCGATAGATGAATTACTAACGCTTCATAATTGACACTGGTTAGGACGTGTACTTCGGATGCCAGAAGATCGTTTGCTTCGCAGAGCTGTTTTCGCTTGGCCCTGTGTTGTGTGCTGTCCACCAGGATGTGGACATTGTATGATCTGGCAATGGAGTATGAAGACACTTACCAGTAAACTGCCGCCCCCTTGGATGGGGACCCGGGAACTCTACTCACCAGTGGTTGGTGGCCCAATCGCGCATTCAGTGCCGTTCACGCATCAAAGGTATCGCGTTCAATAATTTGCTACCCGAACTATTTAATCGCTCCCAAGGCTTGGCTGTGTCCAACTGTCCCACTTTCCGGTAATCGAAACTGTAGCAGCTTGAGCCATTGTGCCTATTCACGCGGTTTATGGCTGATAAATTGAGAATCGTAGAATGGTGGTCTCACGTTTTGGCATGAGCTCCACACCTGCAAAGTTTAGTATGCTGTTGTAAGACCGGGTGGTTTCCAACCCTGATATTATGCCTGCAAATGAGCCTATTGGGGTAGCAAGAAAATTTATCTAACTGGGCAGCTGTATCAGTCACAGTGGTCTCGCCAAAGATTATATTTCCATTCTTATTGGGAAGGCCAGGGTTTACAATGCTGCTGTGCACTCCATATTATTATACGGGTCAGAAACCTGGTCGCTGCTTACTGAGGACATCAGGATCTTTCGGTTTCTGAACATCGATGTATTTAGAGCATTGCTCGAGTCTGGTGGGAACACCGAACTAGTAATGCTAAGGTCGAATGGTTTTCTAAAAAAATAATTCGCCCATAATGGATGAACTGATCACAATCCATAGGTTGCTTTGGCTTAATTACGTGCTGCTATATCAGTCGACCGATTTGCTCGAAGTGCTCTTTTCACACAATCACGCAAAGAGAGAAAACGAACCATGGGAGGTCAAACAATGACTTGACTGCGAAGTATGAAAGCCACTACCAGCAAACTCAGTTGCACTGGCCACTATCGTCTCTCTGGGTAGGGACCCCGAGACGACGAATGGTAATGGCTAGAGACATTGTCAGACATGGCCCAGTCGCGCCCTCAGTGGCGCTCGTGCATCCAAGCTGTCGCCTTCAATGCACAACTCTCCTCCAGACCTCCTTATTGAAAAGTCTACTGATAACCCTATATGTACGCATCAGTTAAATCGGCTACCACCTCCAGTGTGTAGCCATCCACCCCACCTCCGCCGTTCGTCGATGAATGAAACCGTAGCAACTAGAATCACTATATGGCAAGTACGCGGTTTTTACAGCTAATGATGATGATGAAAGGATTATTTCACCTTGGGTTGTATTTGTCCTGGCAACCCAACACGTGACCGTCTAGGTATTTCGACAGTTATTCATGTACAGCCTTACAACCACGAGGGAAGAAAGCTTAGTAGAGTTTGAAAATAAAAGGGAATGGTAGGGACCTATTATATATTCTTCAGGAAAATGATCAAGGTTAAGGAGGGCGTTAAAGTAAGTACACATCAGCATCATATCGAAGTAAGGTGTCATCAGCGAGATCGAAGCCACCCAGTGATATTCGTTTCCTGTACCAAACCAAAATACGTTACCTTGAACAAGAGAGTATAGCTTGCCGCAAGTTACCAGAATTTAACACCCATGTGATATACTCACTCCACTTTTTCCGCTTCATGCCCAAGCCATGAATCACGACAGATGAACGATTTGCTTCCATTGGTGATCCCCTTGTAAGGTTGAGTCCTTCGAAGAGCATAAAAGCCTGTTCGCTCACCTAGAGGAACTGAATTGATTTGAGCTTTCTTGATGTGTTACGGATAGAAAGTCGACCACATTGATATATAATATATCTTTCACGCTTCTTGTTCACTTCAGTCGCCTCTTGCTAACACAGCCAGCCCCACTAGACGTATGCCGGCATATTTTCAGTCTCTTGGCCCCTGTAACACTCGCAGAACTGCCTACTATTGCAATGGGTTTGTTAACACCTTTGCGAACTGGAACCCTACGTCCAAGCGTGACTTTTTCCCTCGTCACCCAATCGGGAGATGCGATACAGGTAAGCGATTAATTGGTCTATAATCTTCTAATAGCTTCTTTACATCCTCTAGTTATAAAAATAAGCTCCATTTATCGCATTTTTGAGTTCAGATAGCAACAAGCGCTGAGTGATTTAGTTACGATTGAACTGTTCTTTCATGCTCCGCTTAGTTTCTTTGAGTCTGTGCAGACCGAAAGTGAGGCCTCACCTTTGCTAGAGATTATTTCCTGGGCGTTCTACAGTATGGGTCCCCAGAGTTCCGAGCCGTTCATAATCATCATCAAGGACAGCAACATCAGTTTTGGTACTGATGCTTCATTGCCGTACTTCGCATCGCTTTTTAATCGTTTTGAATGAGGCAAACGGTCGGCATGTTCATCAGCGTCACGTGCGGCTCGTGGATACATGTGGAGCGCGTGTGCGATAGAACATTTCCGTGATGAACCTTTGACAGGCTTAGTCTTAGAAAGCCACACGACAACATTATTCAGAAGAATGTGCACTCCAGTTCTTGCTAACAACGGACGTTGCCGTGGACCCTTAGAGAAGTGGCCTTTTGCAGTTCTCTGAATAAATACTCATTCTATGCCGGTACACCTCGATTGCTAATCCCATAATTAGCGTTACCTAACAATGATTCATTCCGGCCAAACCTAGTCCTGTTCAGGTTTTAGTTAGATTTGTTGTATCCAGCAATGAGGGGCGGTCTTTGTTCCTTTTCCCTTCAATGTATCCGCTGATCTAGATACTGCGCCATTGACACGTATGCGGAGATCATGAAATCTGTGGAACGAGCAGATCGAATTCTTCTTCCTACAATTTGGAACTTTGGCTTAGAATATCCAATCTCATTCGATCAGCTTCGAGATGCAGCGTGTGCTGCTAAGTGCTGACAAAATAAGGGTTAGAAATCTGGGTTGAGTAGTGGGGGTATAGCGCTCAGAGCGAAACCAGACTCTGCTACAACTTGTGGGTTGTGCGGGGTTTGTGCTTATCTGCGCTACACGGTTAAGCAGCGGTGTTGCACTGGCGTTTACGTCATTGATGATGCTAACGCATCATCATCATCATCATCAATGACAGCAACATCAGTGTTGGCACTGATGCTTCACTGCCGTGAAGCACGCTAACGCGTGGAATTGGAATTATATTACGTTCGAGATAATGTCAAAAAGGCACCCAGGCCGCTTTACACCATTCTGTTTTAACTGGCTTCGGGTTGCGTGTGTTGCTTGGCCTCCGCTGTGGACCTGTTTCGGCCCAGCAGCTTCATTTCATACTTTCAAATTTTGTTTTTGGAGCCTACCAGAGAGGGTCCTTTATCCGCATCATTTGCTTCTTATTCGGCTACAAAAGCACGTAAGATCTTATCGGTACTGTATCCTCAGAAAGTCAAGCTAGACTTCGCACAGATGGTTCAGCTGCCTTTCCAGGACCCAGGTGTTTTTGGTAATGCCAGACAACATGAACTGCTTCATCCAAGCACTATGGCAGCAAGTCCTATCGTACGCAGATCGCACTGCACAGCCAAGTCCACGAACGCGCTGGTAAACATCATAGCTAAGTGGCACGACGACAAAGTGGGTAGTAACCTGGACTTGGGTGTCCGCTTGGAGCCTAGTACGACCACTACTGGTTGTGTTCGAAGGACCTGAATTTAAAAGTACATGTCTGCTTTCCATAGATTGCAGGAGTAATCCTCTGAAAAGGCCTGGCAAATTAGTTTACCAGCTATCGTTTCGAATCACTTTACGAATGCACTACCAGTTCGCACGTACATACCAGTGTTCCGTGGTTCCGCGTAAATAGCATAGGTTTACATTTGATTGGCTGCTTGGAGCTGCTCGATATTTGTATGGCAGCTATACGACGGACATCTTTCGCACTCGGTTTATCAAATTTGACAACTGACCTCGAATTTCGCAATTAAGAGCCATTTTCAGCTTTCTTTTGTTGCAAAGTCTATATCACTAGTGTTACCCTTATTGTTACAGGGCCTCGAGCATTTGTTTGTCTCGGAAAGGAACACTTCGACGCGACGTCAGCTTCTTGAGGCTACCGATTTATCTCGTTCCACTGACACTGCGTCTCTTCCCTTGGGCGCCGCAGAATGGCGCAATCGTCTCGTTCGCAGTGTTGACGATAGGCGGGTATGTGTTTGCCTGGTGTTTATATCCGATTACGATCAAGTATCGAGATGCGCCGAAATAATTTTTTTATACAACGAGGGCTTCGTCTACGTATTCCCATGTTTTCGGCCTTGGTCCGATTTTCCTTTAACAAACAACATAACCAGTACATTTGCCCATGTAGGTACCAGCATCAGGATGGAACACTGTTTATTTTGGTCTGTCGAATTTCCTTATTCGACTTGGCGAATTCTGTTCAGATTATAGCTGATTTCCATTTGCGCACCCTGTCGCTGCACCTAACATTATCGGACCAACGGACTGAAATTTGCGCCTAACGCAGCGACCCATCACTAGAGAGTGCATCGACAAGAACTGTCTCTTCTGCGAGATCCAGTCGCATGTGCCGGAAATTCTTCGCTTATGTTTTCTCACAAAAGCCAAAACTTAACCATCTATTTTTCGCTTCCTTTGACGACGCAGTGAATTCTCAGTCATCCCATGGATGCGGTGCAGTTTTACTGGAACAACTTACTCAAGTGGATGCTTCAACGGCACATGACCAATCTGGACGTTGTCTACGAAGTAGAACGAAATCAAATAGCTGTATTCAGTGACAGATTTCAGTGTTTTACGTCTGTCCAATTTATCGATATATTTATCGCACCCTTCTGTATAGCTTAAAACACTATCATTGTATGTAGTGTATACATGTAAGGGGAGAGATGTCTCAATGGTCAGGGCGCGAGTTTTCTGACCGGATGGTTCGTAATTCGAACTGGACCTCTGCATCTCGACTTCTGCTGTTTAGGTTTAGGCAACCTGGTACCCAGCCCTCATGCTTTTTTAGGTGGCATGGCAGTTGAGCACCGAGAGGGTGCTACAGCTGGACGTTTTTTTGTATGGAGCAAACACCGACATAATCACTGCTATTGACTACTCGCATAACAATCGGGTATCAATAGTCGCTTGTAGAGTGCTCATCACTTCTTTAAAACCGCTTTAGATTCAAGTAGATAGCTTCGGTTTCGATTGATCGTGGGGTAGGTGGCAGATGATGAAAAAGCCTAGACTACTGGACTATTTACAAGGGGCTTTCGGGTAACTGAGTGTGATTCATATGTGGGGTTATCACCTAAGCTGTTGCTCTTTTCAACCTCAGCTATGAATCCACCGCATAGCGTGTCAAAAATTCTGCGCGCAAGCACCTATTCGGTAATCTCACCTCAGCTGTTGCATACAACTTGCTGAACGTGAAAGCCCTTTAGGCGCACAAATCTTCACATAAGTCTCGTAATTCTCCAATACGGTACATCGTCAAACGTCAATACACAATCTTCAAACCGACTGTGGCCTCCAAAGCATCACTGACCTCAGTTTACCCATCTTTATGATCCGTAAGTAGATAACAATGTCAGCCGAAACCACAGTACCTAAGTGCAGTCTGGTCCAAAGTATTTTCCCTACCAAAACGAAATAGGCTGAAGTTCATGCGGGTTCGACTTCGTTTTTGTGTAGTGATCTGTAATCCTACCCAGAGGCTTGGAGTGATGAACCACATTAGACTACAGATTGGGCTGATGGTATCTCCTCGGACTGCAGCACAAGCTCTCCCTTGGTTTCCGTCTGCCTTAAATTTACATTTGGCTTCGGATTCGACGAGATCGATCGCTCAGGGTGTAAAAAACAGTCTAGTCTACGTCGTTTTAGGAGACATCTGAGGAGGTAGTCCTATTGAACAAACTGTCATGTACATATTTAAGCTTATTTTGTTTAAGCAACAGTGGAAATTGTGGCAGCTTCATGTACTAGTTATGCATATACATTTAAATGCGGAACAGTTACTCAGGGGAAAGAAAAGCCTGTTTCTTGAAAATGTTTTCTCGCGCAAAAATCTATGATGTCCATTCCTCTAAACTCTGACTAGTCAAACCATTCTCTTGGTTGATTGAGACTTGGATGATCTGCTGATATATGAAAGTCCTACCGTGTTTGCAACGAAGTCTTGTACACGCGATTGATTTGTCTGTGGTTTCACTCCCTGTCTATGGACATAGTGATGTTTGTGGCATCATGCAGCGACAGCTCAGACACCGATAGTTTTTGGGGTTGCTTTTTGTGAACACTGCTGCTATTTGAGCGCCATACTAGCCAAGTCATGCCTGGTTGCGTAGGATTTGTTTCTGAGCCCTAACCTCCTCCCTATTAATTCAAATTAATCTAGCTTGTCGGCGTGATATCCATTAAGCTATTCTCACACCTTATTACGTTTTAGGAACAGTCCGCCGATGCCCATCCACCACTCGCACAATCGAATATACCGGTTACGTACTCTGAGCACGTGTCTCTCACTATTCCAGTATCCCACCATACTGTTGTGTCGACTTTGAATGTTGACTTATCACTGCCAGCAGTTGGCAGCTCTTCCGCCGGTGATATTTCGGAACTACGTGATACGCATTCAGATGTTCCCGAAACGCGCCCTGTCCCTACTCCGTCACCACCTATGTCTGCGCCTATTGGGGATCCATCAGTGCTTACTCGCCAAATGCAATCCACCATTTGTGATATCGACAAAGATTCTTATGCGGTAGATGAAAATGTAATGAATCAGGTAAATCGTAACGATACCGTTTTCGGATGACTTACTTCTCGTATATCGGCTTTCATCCTTAGGTTATATTGTTAGTTCATTTTCTTGAGGATTGGTATTCGTGCTCTCATCGACTTGGCAAGGTACTGCTCAGTGATTCCCTTATCCATATGTGATTCCTCCCACTGGTCTACTTCTTTTTAGCGTTTTGATTCATCCTGGTTATCGTAGGACATCTTGTATGCGCTCTTCTCTAGTAAGCCACTGCCACGTTGGCAGTTGTTCTAGCTTGTCTCACAAAAACGAACATTTGCAACCTGTCGGTGAGATTCAAAAGCCAGTATACAAATAAGTCAGACCTTATTAGCAATCAACACGTAACACCTCTGGTTGACCCTGGATGCTAATTTAGTCATCTCTGTACAACTCGTCATTCATATTTTGTTTCCGTAGAGCTTTTCAGCATAACTACACTGCTAGTGTGCATATATCCTGTTTTCTGCTGATTGAGTATTTCGGTTTTCTTGAAGTGCTTCCTCCAAGTTTCGTTGTTGTATCTTTTTACCCACAATACATCACTACCAGCAACGTAGATCCCCGTAGTTGAAGATGCCCAGCGAAAGATTTGTACATCATTGTTCCAAAAAACTTCATGTTGCAAAGTGCATCAGTGTCCTACTCGTCATCGGATCTCGAATACGGTGCCTTTTACTCAACACGCCGATTTTATTCCCACATACTGCGGCCTGCAGCTGCTGTGTTGAGGTTGTCCCCTACCAAATTTGGGGTCGAAGCTGTCAACCTATCGAACCGGAGAAATAAGTTCACCAAACAGCAATAACCTTCTCTGATGAGGATGGTACAGAGTTGACGCGAATGCTCCTGACAGGAACTTGTGTGCACCACTCACATTTTTACTGCTGCTATGCAGGCTTGGGTGACCTGGAAGCTTCCACTCTTAGAGGACAAAGGCTGAGTAATTTGATTTTTTTGGCGAAATGGCTCAGTGGTTAGCGCGTGAATTTAGTGACCGGAAGATCCGTGGTTCGAGCCCGACCTCTGCCTCTCGACTTGTGTAGGCTTGGACTACCTGGCAGTATCCCAGCCCTCGGGCTTCCTTTGGGAGGCATGGCAGATAGGCAACGATTATTATTATTCTTTAATTTGATTTTTGCTTCCCTCTGTGGGGTGTGATTGAAGTGAATGCATGCATTTTGTTGGACTGCTCCAGGGCTTTTTATTTTTAGTGTTACAGACCCTTTTCGCTCCGAATCGACGGAATTTCTGTCCAGACAACCGTGAAAATCGACCAAACCCGCGTTAAGCGAGTGTTAGTTGTCAGAAATCAGAATGCCCTATGACAAACAATCGTGATTTTGAAAACGTTTGCTTAACAATCTACAGAGTTTTTTCATAGTCTCTGGCAATTAGGAAGGCTGCCAAACGTTTCGAGGCCCACCGAATAGCTTAGGTTGATGATCCAATTCGTACCCCGCGTACTGCTGCGAGACGTCCTTTGGGGGGGGGGTATAGCTGTGCAGTAAGGTCTTTCCTCCAGATTACCAACATGTCCATTGTCAAGACAGTCAGATCCCTGAAGACTCCCAGAATACCCAAAACCTACTGAAACCCTCAACTCTACTAAACACCGACCAGACAGCCGTGAATCAAAGTTAGACAGTGCGAGTTAGCCTTGAACGAAGCTCACAGTGGCCTTTCAATATATAGCGTGACGCCGTTGTACTTTCGCGCTCGCTGGTTGCAATAATGCTGTTATGTTCTTTATCAGCGAGTCTTTGAACCGGGACCAGACATTGGAGTGGGAATAGCAATCAGAAACAGTGACTCTTGCTTATTCCGCACGCGCTGATCGCCTGGCTGTTCACCTTGACCGCCGTTGGGTATTCAGTACGGCCGGTATACAACTAAAGTCTAACAAGTTTCCGTGTGGCTCCAAACGCTCAGGGGGCGAAATAACTCAGTGCTTAGAGTGCGAATCTACTGACCGGAAGGTCCATGGTTCGAACTTGAACTCTGAATCTCGACTTCTCCTCTTTAGGCTTGGCGAACCTTGGAAAGTCTTCAGAGCCGTAATGTTTAAATTGTTGATGGTGAGGACCTTGTCGATCTAGGGTACGTAGATGACATCGCCCCCATCTTTGAAGACCAAGGCCAAGCTCAAGCCCTGTTGAGTAAACTGACCACCGTCATGCCATCTTTCGGCATGCACCTTGCATTTTCCAAGTGCAAAGTCATGCTTCATAACGTGCAGCCTCTGAAGATGCCTCTTACAATTTAAGGAGAATCACTAGGGTTCGTAGAGAATTTTACATACCTCTTAGTTGTATCATCTTTGACGGAAGTGTGTCTGATGAAATCAGTGTGCGAATCTCAAAGGCCAGAGTCAGGTTTGCTAATTTGCGTCAAGTGTGACGTTAAAACGGCGTATTACTGGGTATCATGGGTCGTGTGTTCCAGGATATGGTAAAGGCTGTACTGTTGGATGGTTGCGAAACACGGCCACTGCAGACTGGTGTTTTGAAGCGTCTTCAGAGTTTTGACGATGGATGTCTCAGAAGCGTTTCTGGCGTCGTATGGCATCAACGGATTCGTAACGAGGTGATCAAAAAACTAATATTTGATTGTACAATACATACTTTAATCGGGATCATCATCATTATCAACTGTGAGAACCGCGTACTTGTACAGTAGTTGTAGCTGCCACAGTGACCAGTGATTTGGGGAGGTGAGGTAGGTAGCTGCGCATTGGAGGCGGGGGTTGGTAAATTGCGTAAATACAGGACTGTTAATGGGCTGGTGGGAATTGGGAAAGGAGCTATGCGTTGAAGACAATAGCTTGGATGCACGAACGCAATTGGAGAACACCCAGCACCATCAACTGCGGTGGCCCGGTCATATGCTACGCATGCGGAAACACCGGCCAGCGAGACGAACGCTGTTCTCCGTGCTTCATTCAGAATGGTGGAAACAGCGTGGTGAACAACGTATGACTTCGCGGAAAATACAAAGGGGTTGGGTGTTCTTCTTTCAGTGCGTCTTCCAGAATAAGGTCTCCTTAACCCCTCCTGCACTTGACTGGAGACACTGCAGGAAATGGTGGCTGACACGTAAGACTAATTTTCGTAGAATCACGAAAATCCGTGCACCGAACTTTAGGCAGAGGAACTTATGAAGGTTTAATCAAAACGCTGCTCCCGGGGACAGCTTAGGAGTTTTGATGTCAAAGGGTAAAGGAGGGTACTTACGTTGAACGTTATTGAGGAATCTAAAGGAACGTTTTATTATTCAAGAAGGAAAGTGGAAATTGCTGTTCTGCAGACTCGACATCGAGTTTGGTACGTAAGACATCTCAAATCAGTTTTAAAGGATGTGTTTTGGTTTCTCAGGTCTCCTCATTCTTCGATGCGTAATGCTTTGTTTGTTGAAGGGATCCGAAAAGTAGTGCATATTGAGATGATATCGTCGTGAAGAACGATTCATCCAGAACGCTATCTTTTCCTGGTTGGTCTTATTAGAACAAATATGGAAAATCTCAGTGGTCTCTAGCCGTTATACAGTTGATTTCGTCTTTACTGAAATTTTTGATTTTCATTATCTAAGTTCCTTTCGTGTATGTGTTGTGACTTTCTACGGTTTGGCTGGACCGTGGCTTAACGTCCGGTTGCTGCTGGACAGATCCCAGTTGTAGAAGTGGGACCGTTCATTTTGTTTTGCATCTCTTCAGGCTCGATAAAAATATTGACAGAATAAGAATGAAATGTTTTTTGTGAGAAACAGTATACGTCGCTACTTTGTTCATCCACCTATCTTGAATTCAATAGTGATCCCGATTCCACTGATCTGACGGTTACATGTACATGTGAAGCGATCCCTAAGAAGCGATGAGGAATTTTATCGTCAAAACTTCGCCCCAAATACTTCTACCGAACGATAGCAACGTGTGTGACAGGGTTTAGTTAATGTTTTCTGCTTGTCTGATTTGGATGAATCACTAGATGACCACAATAATGGAATGTATGCAATGTGTCCGAAATTCAAGTACATATCAGTTGTTTCGAAGTGGAAAGTCAAAGTGCACACCGCATGGACGAACAGATACACGTGAGAACGTACTCAAACCGATAGTCTCCCACTGACCAGGTGGGCGCTATACCGACTGAGCCACCAAGCAACTGCGTTCTTCGTCACATTTGTGCACCTGAATATCACAACTGATTCACTGTGCCTCTTCTCAATGGAATACCAATGGGTATCTGTCAGTGCCATTAGTGAGCTGCTTGTGTTCCTCCCACATTGGACCGGATGTTAATATCGTCCAGATACACTTGTGGTATTGTTAATTGTTAGGTCTATGAATCCCCTTCTGATCTCCAGACCTGCGTGTCGAGTCCTCCCTTAGGCGTGCCTTTTCGTGTAGTTACACTTGTCACTCCAAGGTTTATCAACCTTCTAATTTCCAATGACTTAGAGTTCTTTTACAGTTGTACAACCCCTTCGTGGTTTCTTTTTTGCGTGTTATCGCTTTTTTGTCACTCATGGGATACTGTACGCAATTTTTGGATTTTTGTTAGGTGATCAGTTCCCGATACTGTTTCATTTGAGTTTCGTTCTGGAACCCCGGCACACATCACACTACTTGAATTTCACAAAAATGATTTACGTGAGATGGGCTTGTCATCAAGTAGCGTGATTCATGCTTATTCTTCTCTTGCTTACTGTTAGACTTCTGTCACACAGTCTACGGTGCAAATCGGATCATTTGTGGGGGATAATACTATGCATTGCACTACTGGTCCAATCATAGAACATTCGTATATTTCTGAAATTCGTGCAAGTGAACTTGGATCATCTGGATCGACAAGCACTAACACGCAGAACGGGAATTTTAGCGCAGTCACAGTTGATCCAAGCTTGTCTGATTCTACCGTCAATCGCACGAACAGTTCGTATGTTATACAGGAAGGACGGCAGCAGGGGGAAGATTCCACAAATGTGGCAACACCTATGGGTGACCTGACCTCAGCCTCGACAAGTCAGGCGCGTCATTTCGCTGTCACCAGAGGTGCAGACAATCTAGACTTCGGGACCCTACCCAAACGCCGTCGTACGTTGGACACTTCTGTTGTTCCTTCATGCGATGACCGTCCTCAGTCTACCACCTCACAGCAGTCGGACGATTTGAATGTTGTAACGGAAGAAGATGGGTTGAGGATTTCATTTTCCTTATTGGACGGTGAAAGCTCAGCTAGTCAGGCCAGCAGTACGGGTGCGACCGTTGCTACCACATTACCGGACAACTTGGATGCGATCGATACCGTGTCAGAAGTTACTACTGTTTCTTGCGATTCCCTATGTCATATCAGGTCAGACCGTAATCCTACGGTTGAAGCTTTTTCTGCAACGGTAGGTTTTTGGCTATCGATTCGTGAGTTTCTTCTAACTAATGCTTTGTTTAGATCAACCGCTCATCGCCAATTGTGTTTGTGATTCTTTTTTTAGACTGCGCTACACCCTCCATCCCAGACGGTTCAGACTATTGGTGACCAGCCGGCCGGTCATGATTTTGGTTACAACGAGATGTTGACCTCTGAAGTCGGTTCTTATGCACCATCCATGTCTCTCGTAGGGTCGGACATGCCTAATCGCGTTGGTGATGAAGATGATGACGATGATCGTGAGTTACACGGTGATAGATCACCATCTGGCCAAGTAACTGTTGATTTTCCAGCTGAGGATGCATCTGATGGTCAAGTATCCGACTATGACGACGAAGACGATGATCAGGAGGAGGGTGAGGATAACGGAGATGATAACGAAGATGACGATGACGACGAGGAACATGAAACGGATGAGGAGGAGGATGTAGATGAAGATGGCTATGGGGATGATGGCGAGGAGCTGATTGAAGGAGAAGACGAAGAAGAGGATGACAATGACGATGACTCTTCTCACCACAGTGATGTACGTTAAGTTTTCTTTGGTTTTAGATACTTTCGCTGACGTTCATTGCAGCGTCTATGTATGGTTGTTTGAAAACAGTTGACATCATTGGTCAAATTCGGTTTTCCTTAATTCTAGAACTCCAGTGCAGATGCTGAGAGTAGGTCGGCATCACCAACATTTGGCTCTTGGACCCGTAGTCCAGTGTTTTCCAGGGTCAGCTCTCGCCCTGCGGTCTCCAGGTCAGATGAAGCTGCGTTCTCCATCAACACTGCCTCCGGTACGAGGAGAGCATCAGACGCGACTGCGCCCTCTAGTACCACTTTAACTCCATTAACAGCAACCAGTACATCTGTAACCGGTTCCTTACGAACGAGCTCCAGCCCCGTCCGTCGTTCGGTGCAGTCGGTGATCAATCTGCTTTCGAGTACATCCGCATCATCGACGACGACCCCAACCATTGTGGTTTCCGGTAGTAGTGTTTCTAATCCCGTTACCAACGCGATGTCAACTAGCAATGCGTCGGCCAAATCTGATGTGGGTTCCTATTGTCTAACTTTTACATTATTTCTAAATTTTAATATTTTCAGGCTTCAGTCAAGACTTTTGTCTTTCATCATCCCGAGAGACGTGTTGACACATCACAGATTTTTATGCATTTGTCTGGTGAACCAGCGGTTCCCTCCGCTGATCTATAAGAACTACCTTCTAATGGACGCATTTAGAAAACAGATACATTGGTGTAGTTTACCAGCCATTTGTCTTGCCTACAAAGCCTGTCAAGTGTCATTCTCAGAGGCTTAATTTTAAGTTTTTGTGTTCGCATTAGTATAACCGCCCACATAGGTGCTACGATATCAGTTGAAAAGGTAGTCTTCAAGGTCATCTCGAGGCACCTCATATGTCTCCACGACCTTAATCTTACCACCTAAGCATCAATTTCTGGTGTCTTCCTAGGGTTTTTCTTCATTTTGTCCGCCTGGCACTTCAGTAGAACTCATTGAGTTAATATGCTGCGCTCATAAATCACTGAAATGATGAGAGATAAATTTGTGGAATATTTGGTTGGCAGTCATGTGTATGTATACAACTCCACAAGGGCAGCACTTTTGCTTTTGCGTGAATGCAGCTCGCATTTCTATCTTGAGTTAGCCTGACTAATTTGAGGCTTTGTGTATTGCTCTATGGTATGACGATTCGCCTCACCGTAAGCCTCCATTTGTAGCGCTTTGCTGATTGATAATGTCCGCTGTATCGGCTCATTGATCGAATTCATTCCTAAAGCATTCAGCCTTAGCAGATATTTAGACTCTTATTCTCTTTTGAATGATATGCATGATATGTTGCGCAGGCGTTTCTTCAGCCCAGAATTTTGCCACTTCCACTTACTAAACGATTGTTTGGATGGTGTTACCTTCATCCATTTTTATAGCGTGGCTGCACAATAAACACTCAGATACACCTCAGCCGAGCCTTTGGATGCTTAATGCGCGTGATTGCAGATCTGATTGTGGAACTTCGCGAGGAAGCGGGTTCCTTCAACAGTACCATCCGTCGTTGTGTCTCAGTTCCAGCTTCTATCGCTCCTCCACCTTCTGTGTACGAACAACAAAAACAGCTCCCTGTTTACAGCTCGTCGACAAGCGTTAGCTCATCCGGTTCTACTGCAACGACGATGTCCACATGCACTAATCCACATACATTACTTTTATCCTCTCCAATGTCTACTACGAATCTAGCGTCGAATACCTTCACTACGCGTCCCTTCGGCTCGTCATTCACTGAGTTCCAGCCTCAATTGTTCCAAACGAATCATTCAGTTCAAATCACTCTCCCGTTGCTGGGCACTTCTGGGCAACCAAATAGATTAGTGTCAACTGTGCGCCCGCCAAGTTTTCCATCCAGAGCGCGCGTATCGGAGCCCGATTTCGCTGAGCTCATGGCAGCTGTTGGAGTCGTGCTTTCCCCGGTTTGGCAATGGTTATCACATGCTTTGGATAACCTCGAGTCCCAGCTGCGTTTCTCGTCCGCTTGGGCCATTCGCTTCAAGCGAACTGTCAATGAAGCATCGGATCGTGAGTTTTCATTGCGTTTCCTATTCGCTCCTTTCTTGCTCTCCTTCCTCTCTCCCCCCTGATAGCCCCATTTCAACATGTACCAAAAGCTATGTCCATTTTATTGTGCACTGTACATATGTCTCAAACACACCATTACTTGGTACCACGTCTATTGTGCATGTATCCTCTTGCGCTATCGCATTTGCCGATTATCTTAACTGTATTCTTAACGCTGAAAAAGTGCCGATGACGAGTGCACTTATCTGACGGCGGCGAAGCATCATTGTTGAACGCTGATGCCATGCTGTTGATGATTATGGTAATCTGACAGTAACGGATTACAATATGCCCTGTGTTGTATCATGTCGCTTTTCTGCATCATTGTGTTCTGGTCTATCCGCCTGTTTTACCGGGTGTCTTCCAGGCCGGCCTGGAAGGAATGATATAACCGTTCAGTTGTTTTCCCAATCAATTTCATACTACATATTCCTTCATAGTACATCAGAAAAACGCACACTCTAGTTTCGCCGTATAAGCACCTACATGTATGAGTGATGAACCATACCCTAATAAGCAAAACCCAACCGATTACTTGCGTGCAAACGTCACTTCAACCTTGTGAACTCCTTGGTCGTTAGGGTACCTGCGACGGGTTTTATCCCCAAGATACTCGCAAAAAGTACGACAACCTGGTGGCGCTGTGTGGTTCGACAGCATGTTAGCTGCGTTTACTCCGCAGTTGCGCCTACATGTTGGGAGTTGGCGGGAGATATGACCACTTGAAAGCAGTCGAGTGCTCAAATTTTTTCGCACTCATTGAAGACTTGATGACTACCAAGTATATGGGATGTGGATATATTTACAATTTCAATTTTGAAGCGGAATATGTTTATGTGAAACGCGTTTTCTTTTGGTTTGGTCTCATCTGATGGCTACGACAGTCGCGTACTCATTCAGTTAGCAGTTTCCAACGTTATTCGCAGCGCCGAGCGTTTGTTCTCATGGTGAATATAAATCAAATCAACGGAGACCGGAACTTCGTCCCTGTTCCTATTTCATTACACCTTAATTGTTTCTTAAAATACCAAACGAGACTGACTTTAGATATCCTTTTTGGTTGTCTAAGTTAGTACAAACTTGTCCGTTTCCGTGGACACTCGCTGGTTTAAGTTTTGACATTTGCAATGAGGCAACTGTAACATCTTGACTTCTGGTTTTTAGCCACGAGTGCCGATCGACAGGATACTGGTCCTACAGCCGTAAGTTATTGCCATTCTTTCTCTTTGCTTCTTGTTTTTTTTAAATTGGCGGCTTTGTACTTGTCTAGAAATTTACAGATAAAGCCTTTAAGTTCAAGAAGCTTTCGCCATGTAATTTTCAATGACTAAATGTCCTTGGGATTGTAATTGCGAATAAATTTAGTATAACTTTCATTGCTCCGATCTAACATACTATATTCTCCAACCAACTGAACACCAACGACAGATTGACTTTCACTCGTCTATGTTATGTGTGCTTCGAAACTTAACCTTGAAGCTTAATAATAATCGTTCACAGTGGTACTCTTTTGGCGTACGGTTGCGATGCAGATGGAGGGAAGCAAAATGACTGAGATACGACCAGGATGTCCAAATCGAGACGGGTGTGAGAAACCTGCGTTTGGGGTGAACCGTGAGTCTTCTGGTCAGTAGATTCGAGCCCTGAGTTTGGAGTAACGAAATTCGAGCGACCCGGAAAATCGGATCGAGACATCGTTCCATTAAAAATCTGCAGTATAAATTTGTCCTTCGTTAAGCTACCATAGAGCTAAAGATAGTGAGGCGAGTCAGTTTACCAGCTATAAGCTATGTACTAGGACTACGTTAGTTCCAGCTGCTACAGTTTCGGTTACCGAAAAAAGGAAAGTTTCGGAAATGGTGGATGATTGAGGTCAACAGTGTTTGTGCTACTTGATTGAGCGCTCGGAACTATGGGCACCTTAAAACGCTTGTGGTAGGCCAGTACTAGGTCAGCCTCTTAGCCATTCCTTTATCTTCATAAAGGAAACTACCCACAAGGTTGCTGAAAACTCTTCTTTTAACTCTAAAGCTGCAAGTATAATTAAACAGACTTTGTGGTTGTATGTCATTGAAGCAATCAGGTTCGCCAACTGGCGTCGTACGGCAGCGAAGCATCGGTGTTAAACACTGATGTCATGCTCTCGGTGATGGTGATGCTAATTGGCGTCACTTGTAGCGTCGAAGTCACTGGGCTACAGTAAGGGCGGTATCGTACCCTTCTGGAACATTGTCTCTGCAAACAGAGAATATGAGGCGCTTTAAGGTTTTCGACCACCAGTGTCTCAGAAGTGTTGCCGGTGTTGATGGCGTCAACAAATTCGTAACGAGGTCATTAGAAGACATTTGGTTGTAAAGCTGATGCTTCAGTCGTGGAGAACATGAGCACCTTCAACTGTGGTGGATTGGTCATGCGACGCGCATGCCGAAACATCGTATCCGCTTCTCCCTCAGAATGACGCAAACTGCAAGGTGGACATCGTGTGACGTGACAAAAGTGTATGAAGGGGATTGCGGAGAGTTCATTTGTTGCCGGTGTTTCCCATACTGGTCTGGTGACATGGTAATAAGTGACGGTTAATCGATGACCGTGACATTGGTGCTATCAGTTTCATTCCAGATTGTATGGTTAATTGTTTGGAGGTGTAAACACGTCAGAATGGTTGTGGTAAACTAGCACCAGGTCCCTTCCTTATCAACTCTTTATTTTTTTCATTCTAAGGCTTTAAATTTAAATGAGCGTTGTGGTTGCCGAGTAATGAAATTTTAGTGGCCACATCGATGTTTCAATCTGAGTGATGCTGACTATATTGTCACAAAAGATTTCTGTCTGAGGGTTTACCCTGCACCTCATAATTGGCTTTTCGATTAAGTTTGAGTTTTTCAAAGAATCTTAGTGATATTTTCCGCCCTAAAATAAATCCACGTTCGTGTGGAGTGAGTGAAAGTCGATTGTATCCTAATAACTCGCCGATTGATGGTGTATACGTCCATTGAAGCAACACCGGTTCTTCAAGACGTCTTCAATTATCTGAACTTCCTCGTATTCCATTTTCCCTTCTTGAAGCAGACATCAGCGACTCTATCTGGACGATCGACTGGTTCCTACAGTGTGCTAACTATCGGTCGGTCTGGAACAAACGCTCGTCCCACGGGGACCCTTCCGTCTTCACTTGGTGGTCCGACCGGCTCAGAATCCGTGGCACATGCGGATGGCACTGTACTAACTCAGCGAACTGATTTACTGTCGTACGTGTTTTCTTTGATGCGGGCTTCTGGTGGTGATCACGGAGACAGTGTACCGTCCGTGTCAGCTTCAGCGAGCAAACACTTAGCCTATGTACTGGATGCGCTCTTATACTTCTTCAAAGCCTTCGGAACAGCCTGGCCCTCAGGGGTTACACGTCAGCTTTTGACGAACGCAGCTCGTGACAAAGGAGACACTTTGGAAATGGCTGATTTACCGGACCGGGAAACCGAGGTAGGTTGGTGATTCTTCTGTCCTATACTATACAGACTATCGTTCTATCTACTCCCCAATATTTTGCTTGTATGGGTGCAGCATTGTGTCACCTCGTAAATTCATTTCGTAGTCAACCACATGCTCACTCAACAAGGATCGCGGTATAGACATCGATCCCAAATGGGATATCTCAACAAACGCACAAATCTCCCTGGTTGGAATCATTTGAACGAATCAGGGCGTTTATCGTAGGAGATGCTCTCACTAAGCAAAAAAGCACTTGGAATACAATAGGAATTGTGAACAAATGTCTTGTCATCCAGGACGGTCACATTTTGACCGCGATTGTACGGACCAGTAAAATGCAGCGAATGGACAGTGCTAACAGAAGGTATGCTTATTTTGTGGAGGTGGTTCCCTTATTCGTCCATACACACCTCTGGAAAGGAATCAGCCAGGCTTCACTACCTATTATTGATCTCATTAATATCTTATAAGTATCCACTGCCTGGTCAATTCAACATGTAAGAAGGGCAATGTTGTTTGCTTAACTTTCAGCGCGATGTTTGATTGAATGGCTGTGTAATGTCCTGTTACTTGAAGGGTAGGGGATAATTCCGGTGCCTGTAACACATGCATGTAGGGCGTGTTCAGGTGACAGTACTAGGTTGACTGGATAGCTGGCTAGCTCACTATGACCTACACTTCATTTCATTGGAAAGTGCTTTTATATGATAGGTGCTTAAAAAAGTGTACTCCTCAGGCCAGTTTTATGCATGCACAGTCTTGTATTTCACACCCGATGCCTGTGATGTACGCATTCAAAAAATCCTTCATAATATCATGTGGCTGGTAATCTAAGGTAGGCACGTTGCTTGTGGTAATGGAGGGTATATTTCTTCCTGTACTCCTGTAATACACCGGCAGATCATTCGGAAAACTTGCGGGTTTTGTTCGACCCGTCGAGGAAAAGGTAACAATAGTTCAGCTGTAACACCCTTTTGGTGCCTAGTAGCTGCCATGCTACCAGAAGGAAGCACGAAGACTGGGATATTGCCAGGTTACTCAAGCCTAGATAGAGGAAGTCGAGAGAGAGAGAGAGGCCAAGGAGAATATGAGAACACTTAAACTGCGTGAAGTTGGGAAATTGTTGTTGTGAATCTTCGTAGATCGTGTTCGATCGTCCACCCGGCTGGTTCATAATATTTCCACTCGGTGTAGCTTATGTTGCATAGCACTGTGCACAGTATCCGCTTGTAACCTGTGCTTCGTATTTCGGCTGTCGTAATCCTTTCCTAAGCTTTGCGTTTCTCCGAATTCCGACCAACCACCTTAATCAATTTGCTACGCTCGGTTTAGACCACAACACAACACCATTCTCATCCATTTACGTTGTGTGACAAATCTCGCAGCAAAGTTTTCTGGGTGCTTCATGTTGGCCAATTACAGTAATCCACTTAGTGACCAGCGACAGTGTGTCCAAAGGTGTGTGTCTTGGTGTGTCATTCCAGTCGCAAGTTAGGTTAGGATTTATAGACTATCTTGAACAATGAAGGGGGTAGTGAAAGTCCTGAGCTTCAAAGTGAATTTTCACGAACCGGTTTTCTTACTGCACTCAAGAATGTTGCCTGTCGAAATATGTTCCCAACTACCTTTACGCGGGACCACTAGACAATACTTCTTTACAAGAAAGCTTTTTAAAACTACCATAACAGACCTGGCGAAAACGTTCGTTGAAGGTTAGTCTGGAAAGCTTTACTACTTTTTTTCTAATAATTGTTCTAGTTCATCACATACTTGAAACAAAAAAATTAAAGACTTATGCTTACCAGATTTGCTAAAACGAACGAATGAAACTTTCCCGCCCAACCATTTTTGCACATTGCAATGCATCGGGTTATACTTACGTAGCTTATTGAAAGAAATTTTCGATCTGGAGAACAATCCGGCACCCCGAATGAAGCTAGAGCGTTCCTGTTTTTTTTTCGATACGATCAAATAACTATCTTCATATTTTGTTGTGAAAGGATGTTGGCGTTAGCTCTTCACTGTGAACTGCTTAGCTGATTTCTATTCGCTGTCGCGGCACTCTGACCGCGTCATGTTTTGCATAAAGAAATCTTTCCAAGTTTTATGAGAATAATATGGAGCTCGATGAAGCGAATCCAACGACACTTTTGCCTGAATTCATTTTCAGCGATAGGCTTTTACTTTGCCTATCCATACGACATGTCCATCGCCGAGAGCGTTAAAGTAAAGGATCACGTGCTCTTCCTTATCTTATCCCATTAATGAAGGAGTCGGGAACTAACTGAATACACTGAGCATATATTTTCAAAGCTAACAGTTTTATTTAGACAATGTTTCCGGCGGCGGTTCGTTCATTTCTGTTATTCGATTCAGAGTACTCCTTTGATCGGGGAAGACGTGAAAAGCATTGTAAGCTTCTTTGGTTTGTCAATGTTAGAATTACCAGACACGTCAGCACTAATCTTTCCTTAAAATAATTGGCTTAGCAACAGCGTACTCGGTGGTCCCGTCAGCGTTTTTTTTTGCACATGCCTGCTCATTAGTCATTCCGTGTAACTCGGCAACTGTCACTAATGCATCTCGAGACCATCTCTCTTGGGGACGCGATCGCCTGGTCAGTTCCTTCAGGATTATCCTTACTCAGTACGGTATCTATGTGGGTAAAGTAGAAAACTAATAATAACATCTGAATATTCCTCGTATTGGACCAGTTAAACTATCATCGCGTTCTTATTGTCAGTTTTTTTGCTAAATATCGAAGAAACGTAAAATGTCACTGTCGAAACATGAGCAAAGCCCACCGTATCTGCACAACTGTTCGTTTGGGATCAACTGATTTGACAGTTTACTTGTCAGAAAAAAACTTAGTTATGGCCGCATTAATGTCTCTTTTAGGCTTCTGTAGATATTTCCTCGTTGCCTCCGTCAGAACTGGACTGCATTATTGTGAGTAGTTTACTTCACAAAGGGATATCAGTTTTGTAGCAGGTATTCTGTCGTACTTTTATGGGGTTTGTTGCACTGGCTTTAAGTCTATATGTATCAGCTGTCATTGAAAGCAAGTAGATTCGCACCAAATTACATAAATTGGTTGTTTATCGTCATAACTGTACCTAACCCTCAACTCCAACTATGTATTCCATGCCTGGCGACGTCACAGTGTCACTTAAATGTGGTCGCCTGGTCGATCCAAAAGCCATTCGTTGTCTTCACCGATGTTGAATTTTGTCACTACTGATCACATTGACTCAAAATCTCGTTGGCCTACCTATATTTTTTGTCGTTATCTATCACATTTCAGTCTGTCGGTTTGTCTGGGTCGCTCTCTATGATCCACAACATAACTCAATTGGAACGTGGTGGCCCCGGTACCGATGGTAAGTTGTATTCTCAGAGTTATGCCAACTGTGTTAAACCGGCAAAGTTAACCCTTGAATGAATTCAAACTCATAATTTATGACTTCCAGAAACGAATGAGGAGGTTCAATGTGCTCCAGCACATCGTATTTATGTCAAGACTGACATCCTTGGTGACAAGCCCCTGGTGACGGGTTAGTCTGTGTCGGGTGTCATCCAGATTATCACAGCTTGACTGATGAAAACCTCATTTGAAGCTCTCTGCGAGCAGCCCTAGATTTCCGCTTGGTGTTTTAGTTGATACATCTATCCACTTCGAGCATAGTGTATTGTTTCCTGTTTCTTTTTGCAGCCATCGTATATTCCAATATAGCATCACTAAAATCCGAATGTCACAGTGGCGTTGCCAGCATTGTCAGCCTCATGTCACAAGGATGAGGTTATTATGGGGACCAGTGGTGCAAGGTAAACGCGACTGTGTTCACTCTTAAGCAAAAACTCTTCGTGGAGAACGATTTAGCTTGAAAGGAACACCCCATAGACTGTACGGATGACTAATTTACGCAACTCACATTTGCCAACCTCTCAATGCTACACTGAAGCTACTGCATTAGTATTGTGAGTACTCTTTATAACCTACAATATTACCAACGATCCTTCATAACGAACAGGTTTCTCGTCCGTGAAAATTGTCACCACCGTAAAAGTTAGGCGAACACTTTCGGGAGGCCATCGATTCATAACCACCCACTGGAATTGCACCAGTGGCTCTCGTTTGGATTCATATTCCTGTGCAACCTCTTTGTGACTTATTTCATCGCTACGAGCGTTCTTTACAGCGATGAAATCTCTAGTATCAGAGCTGCCTGAAGTTGTTAGGTTTTCTCAGTCATGCTGAATGTTTCACAGGCGAATACACGAACGTGCATAGTGTAGCATCTCAAAGCGATATTCTCTTTTAAGATAACCAGGAGAGACCATTCGACTGGACCGATGCGTAGTCCAGCGGCAAGCCTCCTACAAGAGATCGAACTACGAAAGAGACTGCCTTTTGAGATGGTCTCTGTGTGAGCTTCCACTAAAAATTCCTGATCCGTATCCCAGAATCAGCCGGATGCCAGAGTATTCCGAAGATTTGTGTTAGCTAGTCCTGTCGTCCGTTAGAAAGAAATTTTTGAACGCTTATCTTAGAGATCCGGCTTTCGAGCGACGGCTGTCAACCTCATAACGACCCTGCACCTGCGCCTTCCCGCTATCCCTTCGTCCAAGCACGCATATATTTGAGATCTTTGATGATGAGCACGAGAGATCCAACCAATAATTCCCCGCTGGAACTGCATTCGACATATTTGACTAGTACTGCTTGCATTTCGGGGGCAAGGTGGACTTTCCTTTTCCTCTATGTCATTTCGTTGTCGCGTCCTGACACCACATGGATGTCACATAGGTTTCACCATATATGCGTGTTTGTGTGCGCTCACCGCTAAATCGACAGCCCATATGTTGAAGTACAACCGGATGTATCTATATACCCTCAGTCATTTAACTAAGCTGTATCGCAGTACAGTCTTGCCTGAGGAGCGGTACTACCGACCCGGTATCCTGCACTCAACTGCCACACAAGCCCGAAGAGGGAACGACCTCTGTCGTTTCTCCTGAGTGATGCGCGCACCAGACGCAAGTACATACATGACCACATTCGTGTGAAGGCTCGGTGCGTGGGTTGGATGATCGTAAAACAGCGAAACGCTCAGTTTTTAAGGATGTAGTGCATTCACATCCATAAATAAATAACAGGATGGCATTAATTCGAAGCGCCGTACTCCTCAGATTAGTTCCATCCGCAACAGTGTTGTTCCTAACCAGACTGTCTTTCATTAGGGGCCATTTCTATCTGCATTATACAACTGCACTGCGGTGCACAACTCTGCCGTTCGCTTCATTTAGCACTGCTCGATATTTCTGGTGTTTACTTAACCACGAAAGAGCAAACACTTGCAGGTATAACGTTGACAGCACAATCAATGTTTGTTTTCATTCTAATTGCAACTACAGAACCGGCGTCTTGCCTAATTGGCCAGATAACCCAACGTGAGGACTCATTCTTCCGTCGGTCTGAAAGTATTTTATCGCTGTCTGGCTTTGGTTTGGACCTTATTGATACACCCTTATCAGACTCATTGCCGTTGGCTATGCAACCACAACGACTGCACCCCACCTCTACGCGGACTGAACTGTTTGGACCTGCCCGGTAAGCCTTGCAATACGGATATTGGTGTACCTGACATAGATCAGTCAAACTTTCACCCTTTCTGAATACCACGCTTATTTCTATGCCTTAGTCTGATAAAAATTGCTTAGCTTCATGCTTGGTTGTCATGTTTCAGACTGCTTTTTGACCTTCGTGCGCTTCTTATCCTAAGGTTCGGATGTTCGTTAGCAGTTCACTAGTGGTCCATCTTTTTGACTGCTTATTCTTAGCCAGATCACAACTTTCTAGTAATACTTATGTATTGTTATTAGCTGATCCTCAGTGGAGGTTTCAACATGTTCATTTAGTTACAAGCACGATACCTTCCCGGTAACACTGTTGTTTCTGTTTATTTTGCTCCGTTGTCGCGCACTCGAGTACGGGTCGAACCACTCAATAAATTTTCTTATGACTAGGATGTGAAAGAATTATTGACTATAGTCCCCGGGAATAATTATTCAGGCGACTATGTACATCAAAACTGCTGCACAGCGATTGCTCATGGGACGGGCTGACGATAATTGCTCCTGAGACTGTACCGTAGATGGATTTTGTATGTCAGCACACTTTCTTTAGATTGAAATCCAACCTACCTGTGAGATTTACGCTATTTATTTGATTTCGGCACAGAGACAATGAATTGTGACCTAACGCCGAATTAGCTGTTCAAAAGACGGATAGTACTCTAATAATTAATGGGTTGTATTTTCAGGGTAACAGATCCGTATCTACTAGTTGTCCTATGAACACAGTTTTCATGAATCAGATTGCGGACCGTAGACTGACTGTGCTGCTTCTGCAGGGCACTTTCATCGGGAGACAATCTATTCCACCTTAACTCTTTACACATGGATCTGTCTTCAAATGTTCACTCCGGTCTTGACAGTGAGACAGTTGAAATGCTCCTTAATGGCAGATGTAGCCCCCGGACACGTATCTACGCTGCTGTTTTTCAATGTTTTGCTGGCACTAGAGTATTGCAAGCTGCGCTCATGCAGTCACTGATGCACCTGGTTTGGTAAAATAATAGTTTAGTGGTTTGCGGTAGGGAGTCAGGTGGGAGGGGCCAAAGGCAAAGTAACCAAGAGGTGACATGGAAAACTTGGTATTTCTTCAAAAGCGTTTAACATGGATGCGATCTGGTGACATGATCCCCACTGTGCAGCCAATGAACTGCAAAATTCAGACCTATAAACATCTATTCTCGAATCCCAGAGAGCTGTCAGTCATCACTGCCATTTTATGCCACCAGTTTCTTAGAAAACGGAGTCAACTGTCACTTGTTAGCCACGGTAGTACAGTAGCCAGGTTTTCTTTGTAACATTGCGAATTTTTCTTCGAAGAGTGTGCATTGAGGACAAACTAAAGGGTAAGTGTTCTCGCACATACTGCTATCGTATTAGTGTAGTACTTGTTCATTCAGACTTGAGCCCATGACTATTTTGTTTCACAGTATATGTGGTGAATGCAATCATTGATTGGAATTATCCGACCACACAATAACATTCGGGTTGATGTTTCGATGGATTACAGGCGGTGGCTGAACGTCAACGAAATACCAATCTTGATTACGAGCAACGTGAAACATCTCATCCTAACCCAAACGAATCTCGGCTCGGATAACCCTTAGGGAAGGTCTATTTGTTTAGAATCTTTGGCTTCGCTGATGGATGTATTGCTGACGAAATGAGGTATTTCGAACGTCATTGGCCAACAGTCCTTGGCTCAATAGCTCTCGAAAAACGTGTGCTCTGCAATGATGCTAACATTCATAAAGTCATTAAGAATGACACGAATAGGACCTGAACGTAGAAGCGACGTTTACTATTGGCAAAAAGTAAATGAACCATCGTAGACTCAAAACCACACAAAATTAAACAAGTCTGCTGCTCAGTTCATTAGAAAGCCTGCTCTCCCGGTATAGAGACCATTCCCAGAAACACCACTTTTTGCGTCCGTCAGAATTGATTTCTATATAGGGGAGGTTCTAATGTATAACCGCTTATTCTCAACATGGTTTAAGTATCCTAACAGGGCCTACTTTCATAGTTTAGCATCACCGCCACAATATGCTCCGTAAACGGCAAAATGTGCAGGAAATCACCAAAAATTGGATGATTTAATCGAAGCTGATTGACCGATGGGCATTTTATTATCGTAATTTACACCTTAGTGTAAGGTACTCGCCCATGTTTGTTTGCATTGTGCTAGGGACTTTTTGGTTGTAGAGAGCCTTGACGATGTAGCTTACACTTGAGTCTATATGTTGTTTAATGATGTCATTTCGGAGCCCTTCGTTGGTCATTGCCTTGCTCTACCATACCTCTCTTGACCACAACGCGGTATTTTTCCAGTTATTTTACAGATGATGTCCGGATTGAACGTAACATTTCCAATCGGGAGCATCTTCCCATGCAGTTAAATGGATCTTTCAGTCAGTGGGGTAGAGAAGTTTCAAAGGGTGGCCGCAGAGGCCGTTTCTGTTTAGAAAAACTCAGCGCTGAAGACGCCGCCCGTCTATCTACCAACACTGGTCTCACCTACCGTGCACGTAAGTGATTTGTGACATGCTTTATTATTGTGGGAGTCTAATGAGCTCGGCACACATTCACTTTGATTTCTTTATTTGTAGTATGCGTTGGTGGTGGTTTCCTTGATTCTGTTGGACACGCTGCAACCCTGCTGTCTCGATGGTGTTTATCTCTGGAGTTTTTCGGTCGTCATTTCTCAAGTGATGTCGGCGCCGAACACCGAAGTTACATATTGGAATTAGGTGGATTCACGATGAAGGAGGCTCGGTTCCGGAAGCAGATGGAGCGGTTGCGCAATGCCTCGCGTCGAGATCTTGTCTTGGAAGTGGGTTTATTGTTTTTTTTTCATGTCTTTTTTGTCTCGCTTACCTTTCTTCCTATTATTCCGTTTCGCTTCGCTTACGATCCTGTCATCATTACGATCTGGGAAACATTGTAAATCATTCTGGTTTATTTCAGGTCGACCGTGAATGGGGCTCCCTGATTATGAACACAGTCAAACAACTGAATGCGGAGTACGCGAAGCGCCAGTCGCAAACTTCCAATACGCCGGGTAGCACTGGTCTTGGTTCACTGACCACGCCGCCTACTGGTATCGGCCGCTACATAAGTCCGTCAAATTCAGCTGGTAGTCTTCGCCAGCAGTCCACTTCCGGAGGAAGTTCATTGGCGGTCGGACTATTGCTTGGCACAACGACAGATTCGCCTCTATTGGGAACCTTGTTTGGGGCCAGTCCAGTCCCAGCTGCCTCGCTGAGCAACACAAACCAAATCAGTCAACCCGCCTTTCTGTCCAGTCACCGTGTTAAGGTTTCGTTCAGAGACGAACCGGGAGAAGGTAGCGGTGTGGCGCGGTCGTTCTTCACTGTGTTTTCCGAAGCTGTTCTATCACCAGATACTCTGCCTCCCTTAACGCCGCTTCTGCAACCAACGACATCCTCCTCCGTGACCTCTCTCTCGTCAGCGTCCTTATCCTCACGTGAGCTTACCTGGATTTTTTTATATTAGTTATGGTTGTGCCTCAGCCTTGCGGGTAACTGACGGGCTAACACTACTTGTGCATTTGCCCCCATTTTTACGGAGTTGCTTGGGGGCAATTAGGGGCGTGATACACTTGTTCTCAAGAAACAATTTCAGGGTTGCACTCCTCCTTACTCCGTTTATTAGTGAATGCCAACGTCATTCAGTTGTAAGTTAATTCACTACTCAGGTCTAATGATACTGCTTGTTTGCTCGCTTTTTTGCGACTGATTGCTGTTCGAGGGTAATCCAACTCCATGAATGTCGTGTGCTGAAGTTGTTCATGTACCTAAAATATACAAGTTGTATAAAGGACTTCGAATCACAGGACATTCGTTTTTTCCAACTCATCTGACACGGCGGTACTGGTTTTCTTTTCTTTTTAGCTTCGTACACTTCACTGTTCCATCATCGTCACTACACCAACCTCAGTAGAGCACAAGCAATCGCCCGGTCCCTTTCTATTACCACACATGCACCCATCTCTTCTGGCGGCAATTCGCGTTTCTCCAGCAGCGCTTTGACCACATCGACGAGTGCACTATCCCTCGGCACAGAGCCAAGAGCAACAGATTCTGCTCCAGTCGTCAGTGGTGGTACGACAGTGCCTATATCATTTTATCCATACGGTGGACAGTCAAGGCTATCTGCTGGACGTGCACGCACAAGTGCCTGGCGACGTGCTGGTGGACTTTCTGCGCAAGCATCACCATTCTATCCTGAATGGGTTACTAACAATAGCACAACTGGCGTTGCTGAATCAGCCTCGCACCCCCAAGGTCGGTCAACAGGGCGCCGCGTTAGCTACTCGATACCATCATCTCCGACGCGTGGGACTGGGGAGTCGGAGTGCGTTAACGTGCCGACAGAAACGATGACCATACCGGGACTTTCTCCAGGTGTGTTTTTTCTTGCTGTTGCTTTCAGGATCCGTATGTTGTTTGTATACTTCTGTGACTAATCTTATCCGAGTATCTTTTTGCTTCAGGCGCAAGTCCCAGTAGTCATCATGGGAGTCAGGAGTCTGGACCTAGGGTGTTGCTCCGTTCTTCACTGCTGTCATCCAGCACATCAAGACCCGCGGCTTTCAGTTCCCCCGATTCCCCAGCGGCTTCGAGGCCTACATCCCCTCTCGGATCCACAGGCGACTACATACAAACCGCAGCTGAAAACGCGGGATTCAACTCAGTGGGCAACAGACTGTTTGTACGAGTGCTGCATCACACCAGATCCGAAGATTTAGCCGCACGGGTAACCGGAATGTTGTTGGAATTACCACCGACAGAGCACGCTACTCTGTTGTCAAATGAAGATGCTCTCCGTAATCGTGTCGAAGAAGCACGTGCTGTGTTGATGATGTCAGATGCTACGGAACGGGATCAGACAAGGTAAGTATCTGTCGGATTCCATTGGTCGGCAGGTTTGCTGATTCCAAGCTCTTACAACACTGAACATCAACGTTTCCTTTCTGTAGCCACGAAAGGCCTCGGTTATCAAGTACCTCTTCGTCGCAGCCTATTCTCGAACGGTTGGTCAACTGGCGTGAGTCAAGCCAAACCGGAGAACAGACATCCACTTTCCGATCAACTATCTCCACTGTCCCACTCGGTCCGATAAGCACTCCGTCCAGTAGTAACAATGCAGATCCTGAGCGCGTCCCGTTATTCTGGCAACCCGGTTTGCAGGGCTACTACTTCCCACGTGCAGTTCCTGGTACTAACCTTCAGTCGGCCGCTACGATAGATCCGCTCAGACTTGTCGCCAGATATTCAATTTACCGGTAAGTCGATCAGGGTTCACTACTTCGCACCCTAACACCCTATCATTCGATAGACTTTCTATGAGACGCAGCACTCATTTATGTGGGAATGTGTTGAAAACGCTCATTGTTCGCCGCCTACAGCCATCCTGCATCACCAGTTGACATACATGTGTATGTATAAACACGGTTTCCTTTGGGACCACATGTCCTCTGGCTATTACGGTCCTTTGCCTTACCTGACTTCTATTATATGGAGCGGCTGTGGTGTACATAATAATACCCTGATTAACGGTGGTTGCAAACATGGAACATCAAGTGTTTGTGCTGTCTGTTGCACGATTCCTCCAAGTAGGCTGGCCTAACCCCTGTTGCTTGATTCCTCCGTGAAAATGGAACTGTACTGTACGGTAAAAATTTTACTGGACTGTGCACATACAGATATAGCATGTACCCGAACAATCTGTTATTTTTTGTCTGTCCATTTAAATTTCTCAACTTCTCCACCGTTCGTTTTCCAGAGGAATCGGGCGTGTGATTGGACTTTGCCTCCTGACAAATGAAACGTGCCCCTTGCACTTCAATCGACCCGTGTTGAAATACATTCTTGGGCGAGTTCTTCGCTGGCATGATTTTGCATTCTACGACTCAACCACCTTTGAAGGTTTGAGGCAATTACTTCGAAGTGCATCTCCGGACAGTCCCGAATCGGTAACAGACTACAATCTCACTTTTTCGCTTATCCCTGCTCCTGAGGAAGGTGGGGTTTGCAAAGGCTCAGACGTTGCTGCTCAGACTCAAGTACATAATCTTGCACCGAACGGAGAGGAACTTGAAGTCAATGAAAGCAACGTCTATGAATTTGTCAAACGCTACACGGAATTCAAAATGCTCGAATCTGTCCGTGAACCTTTAGAGGTAGGTTTAGTGTATAACCATGCTTTTTGTGTTTGTAATGTAAAGCATATGTTTGTCATCCATGTCAATTCATACTTAAGGTTACCATTCATTTATTGGTACGCGTCAGTCCTCCATAGTGTTGTCTTACCTGACCGATATTGTCGATCAGAGCCGGATAGAATCCCACAATGGAATCCACCAAACGAATTGTCCGGTTCGGAGGTCCACTCTGTACAGGTTGCTGCTTTAAAAATACTTGTCATCAAATGCCCGCCAAGCAACAATTTTGCTGAACTCCTCAACCTGGGAGAACAGCTACCAGCATGACTGGGATTCATCCTTTTACGAGTAGTTATATATCCTGCTCATATCGTCTTTTGACGGAAGTTTCGGACGGATCCTCACGGTTCGCGAGTACTTCCGATACATATAACGGTGTATCCAACCTCTGGACGAACCAAGATTCCATCTTTTCGGTTAACTGTTTTTCTGGCGTTACGTTTCTCTCACCAATTGGTCGGATCATCTGATCATGATACAGCTTCGCTTACTTTCAAAACCTCATTCTTCGATGCTTGCATCATATTAGTAATCTTGACCATTTCGTGAACCGTTCGTTGTGATGTTTCGAGATTTCTGGACGGTAATTCCATTTTTTTGTCCTGTTCATACCTGGAATCTTTTGATCTTTTTTTCCTTGCGTTCACGCAATTTTGGATCTACTAACAACCCACATTCTCCATTCCCCAGCTTTTTGCCTAATTCCACACTGTTTTTCGTTGTGTTTGAGTGCGATGTGCGACCGCGTCGGGGAACGTGTTCTATGAGTTCTTTTGTCGAGCTATGTTAGCAGTTACGTAGATACATCAAAACTGACCAATATTTCAACGCTACGTTGGGACTAAAACGAGCATCACACACCGCATTTCGGGTCGGCGACACGTCCTTTTCATTCATAAAGTTCAACTCTGAATGCATATGAATGCCGTGTCCTTTGGTTTTGTGTTTTCGCATCCTTTTCTGTCCATATGGCACGTCGCCATTAGTAGATGCGGGTGTTTAGAAACTAGTGTTGCCAACAGAGCCTAATCGCGATATTGTCAATACCTCTAGATGCCCTAATCGCCAGTCAATCGCTGTTGTGATAGCTTCTCCGATGTGGTTCATCATCATCAAAGACAGCAACATCAGTGTTGGCACTGATGCTTCACTACCGTACCGATGTGGTTAGGCTGATCTTGCCTTATCTTGAGCCTGTGCATCTTCGTACGGCTGGTGATGATCCGTAGGTAGTGTTCTTTCCTGAGTGGAAATTGGACCACTCAGTCCTTTTTAATGTCTACAGCAGTGGCAGCCATCAGTCACTTTAGCAGACTTTTAGAACTTGCTTCCATTAAGGAGTGAGGTTTGTTCAAAAGTGCCTCCCTCACCTTGATGCTCCATGTCGTTATTCTACTCAGAGCATTTCACCCATTCATCGTCCATCGTTTTGAACCATTGCTGGTTTGCTTACGCGTTTGAATTGCGTCTGCACTTTTCAGATCCTCGTTATTAATTTGTTTTTCCTTTGTATAACAGCAACTACGTCAGGGTGTATTCGATGTGCTCCCACGCAACGCACTAGATGGTCTCACAGCAGAAGATTTGCGCCTATTATTGAACGGTGCAGGTGACATCGACACGGAGATCCTTGCAAGCTATACGACTTTCCATGACGAAACAGGTTCAGGTTCAACGGCCGCGTTAGGCAAAGCAATTGAGAACGGGAGCAGTTTGAGCCACCTCGACAAAGTTGCCCGTCTTAAACGTTGGTTCTGGAGCACAGTTCGTTCGATGGACAGCAAACAGAGACAAAACTTGGTAAGTCCTACTGTCTTCGTTTTACGAAAATAGCTACCTAACTGCTTAACTGTTCTGCTTGCACTGAGTGCAATTTTGATGACCCACTCAAACTTTTCCCATCCTTAGACGTGTGTATGAAAGCGTCCACGCTTTGCGGTTGCTTTTTTTTGAAGAGTATTCAGTCGCTTTATCCGAATTTTTCGTACTCCACTTTTTCGCCCTCAAACAGCTGTACTTCTGGACTTCCAGTCCAGCCCTACCGGCCAGTTCTCAGGGCTTCCAGCCGATGCCCTCAATAACTATCAGACCTGCTGACGACCATCACCTACCGTCGGCCAATACGTGCATCTCCAGACTCTATCTACCGCTCTATTCATCCAAGCATATACTGAAGGAAAAGCTACTCCAGGCCATCGAAACCAAGAGCTTCGGTTTTGTGTGATCTACGTTTGTTGTCGCCCATATAACTGAGTCACCAACCAAATTCGGTTTCACTGTACATCTGATCAGAAGCAACCCGAATTCGCAACGATTATTTTTTGACGTGTTGATCTGCACCCTGTAAAGTTTGAATAGCCATTAAGACTGGGTTTTTTCTTATCGTATGTAGTGATGGGGGGACGATCAGCAACGCAAAAAATGCATATTGCCAAGTCGTATTTATGCGCGTACACTTGTCACTCAGCTCGTCTGGCCCGATAGACCGTTGTTTAACGATCTTCCCCGATTACCAGTTCAAAAGATTTGAATCGCCAAGCTTGGTCCTTTCTTGGTGGTTGACGGGAAGCAACTAGGTAGCCATTATATGGCGCGCCACTTTATGCGATACTGTGCTTGATAGCAGCCCCATCTGAAAGACACCATACGAATTCAGATCACCAGGACCCGTGTTGTAGCTCCGTTCCCCCGTGATACAAGTCTGTCTAGATTGTGTGGATGTGCTAACTTAGGTTCCACCTGAACAGCTTCTGGCACCCTCGCTTTATTTTGCTTTCATGCGACGGTTTGGTTGGATCTCGTTATTACCCGTTCCGATATGTGCTTCGGAAAACACCAGCACCCAAAACCAGTAGATTCGGTCTCCTAGGCTATTGCTGTCCACTGATACGGGGAAGTCGGAGTGTAGCGCATCAGTAGATGGGTATGGTTTAGCAAGACAACAGTGTTTTTACAAGGCGTTTACTACCTGTGCAAAGCTAGTGCTCCAAACTGCTAAGTTAATGTCTGCATGACGTTACTACGTGGAAGTAATGCAAGGAAGCGCCTGAGATATTGTTACCGACAGCCGTATACTTATCTGAATTGTATAGTAGTTTGTTGTAGGCCATTTCTCCACGGCCTACTTGAATGAGTATTTGAAACTGCGTGAGTGACCCTTAGATCCGAATCAAGGTTCGCATTCCCATTGGTAGAACAAGAAGTTAAAGGCGCTATATTTGCATTGGCGTGTACAAACACCATTGGTACTTGGTTATGCAATATCCACCAATGCTCCCACCTGTTGATGTGCGTCATTCAAAGTTCCCCATCCCAGGAAAGAGCAATCGTCTGGAAGACCGAATTTAAATGTCTCATGTTCGACACACAGCTGCAGCGACATGGTCGTCGGGCTATTGTTGCAGTAATTCCGGAGGGTGCAGCTATGCCAGGAAGGTTAAAGGAAAGCAGCGACTCGCACTATGATTTACCGTAATACGAGGCTTTTTGGTGGTTAAGTCTTAAATCTTACTCCCCTCTGCAGTAAAGTGCATTTTCCTGGTGACCAGCATGTCCATGCCTATGGAAGTTGCGATGCAGAGAGGGCGGGTTAGAAGAAATCGACTTCAAAACTCGCACCTTAAATCCGACCGCCCAACAGTTGATTGTGACCACCGGAAAACTATCCAATACGGTCGAACTACATGTAGAACTTACAAGCAACAGGCGCATCGGATGTGCGCAATAACACCAGGCGACCAGCATGTCCATATTCATCCATGCTGCCTTCCCTCATGGAGGGACGGGCTAGAAAAGATCGGTCTTAAAAAACACTGATCGCCCAACGACTGACCCTGACTGCCGGCGGGCTGTTCAGTACGGCCGAAAAACCTTCAAAATCAAAGAGACCGGTGGTGCTCAGGAGGCACCTGCTGCGCGCGACCGCATTAGGAGTGGGAATAATGCCTCACTCCACGTTCTCAGACGATGCTGGCCCCCTGCAGCCGAGTCAGTCAATGGCTCCGGGAACGGCCCCTCAATAAAACCGTAATAATCGCTGTCTGGCGGTTCAGATTTTTGAGACAGGCTATGGGCAGTGTCTCCGAACAAAACCCTACATCTTTCCACTGTCTTGTGGGTCAGACTTCTGATTCGAAAACTCAAGGTGAGGTACCTCGACCAAACCGCCTTCGGCTTGAGTAACTGAGAAGTATCTTTCATCCTTGCGGCCCTCCCGACTCATCAAATGATGCAGTGCGACCAATCCGTCTGATAGTCCCGTAGCCATTGTTCCGTCTCTAAAAATATTGCCCAGAAAAATTAACCAAGGTAATCATACACTAATCTCAAAAGATCTGGTCCACGTTGCCGCCTTCAATATCCGTATGTCGTGTCAAATTGGGCAACAGGCATCTCTAGCTGAAGCCTTGCTTTCCCTCTCGATGTGTGTTGTATCTCCGAAACACGCACACAAGACCCTGCTTCCGTACTGGGTTGTAAGCCACGCAGGATGGGCTCAGACGCCTCACTCTTCGGGTATCCGGCGATCCTGATGCAAAAATTCGGGTTATCCACGGTGTGGAAGTTGCTCTCAGCCCGAAGGCTGAGAGTGCCTCACCGGACTGGATCCCAGTAACCGGTCGACTTTCCGCGGTGTGGTTGTCGATGCAGCAGACAGTGTTTATCTATTGTGTCAGCATACGCCCCGACAGGCTGCAATTTTGAAGCTAATAAGGACGGGTTCTTTCTCAATATCTGTCGCGACTGCTTCGGTCACCAAGACGGATATAGCAATCCTGGCGGATGATACGAGTTCCCAAGCTGAATAAATAAGTCCAGGAGAAGCACAATTAGGTGGTAGATTTCGAGTCAATATCCAGTGTACGGGGATCGACTGCTTCATTTGTTCGGTCCCTATTGTCACTTCCCTTTCCGTCAGCAATACTCTTGTCAGAGCGGGGTAACCACACTCATCAACTTTGACTAGTTTCAGTAGTTCAAGGGTCTCGAGCTGATCTGGCTGGAAAGCTATTGGAAACGCACGGTCATGCGGACGACGGTTGTTGGGAGGTTGAAAGTAAACGAGTTAAAGAAGCTATGCTATCAGCTTTCAAAACTGTCTGTCGAAGCCATCATACTGCTACCAGAAGCAACATACGATCAACTACGGAATGTAATGACGTATCCAGACCCCTCAAACAACGGAAAATCAGAAGCTTGAAGAACGACAGAACGCTGGTAGATTTCGAAGGCTCATGGGATAAGTGCTTTCGCTGCAGGCGACAGTTGTGCCCTATTTCGAACAACCGGTCGAAAGAAGACAAGTTTCAGCGAAACGGTATGCGAAAAAGATTCCCTGGATCGTCGTCTTGAGCGACTTCAAAGAACACTTCATCTTGTTTCCTTCAACACAACGGCCGAAGGAACCCAATGGGCCTGGACGGAACATCAACACCTGCCCGCCATCAACAACATCCAGAGTGAGAGCGGGGTAACCACACTCATCAACTTTGACTAGTTTCAGTAGTTCAAGGGTCTCGAGCTGATCTGGCTGGAAAGCTATTGGAAACGCACGGTCATGCGGACGACGGTTGTTGGGAGGTTGAAAGTAAACGAGTTAAAGAAGCTATGCTATCAGCTTTCAAAACTGTCTGTCGAAGCCATCATACTGCTACCAGAAGCAACATACGATCAACTACGGAATGTAATGACGTATCCAGACCCCTCAAACAACGGAAAATCAGAAGCTTGAAGAACGACAGAACGCTGGTAGATTTCGAAGGCTCATGGGATAAGTGCTTTCGCTGCAGGCGACAGTTGTGCCCTATTTCGAACAACCGGTCGAAAGAAGACAAGTTTCAGCGAAACGGTATGCGAAAAAGATTCCCTGGATCGTCGTCTTGAGCGACTTCAAAGAACACTTCATCTTGTTTCCTTCAACACAACGGCCGAAGGAACCCAATGGGCCTGGACGGAACATCAACACCTGCCCGCCATCAACAACAGAAATCCAGAGTGAGATATCAATACTCAAGCACGATAAGACGCCTGGCGCGGATGGTCTGTACCTCACATTCTTCAAAGGTGGTAAGGTCCTGGTGTACATACAGTTTGACAACCATACTGCAGATTTGTAACAAAACATAATACCAGCCCAATGGAGCTCCTCGACCATCATTCCAATCTTCAAAAAGGGGCGCAACAACGCCACGCGAAAACCGTCGTGGTAGCAGCCTGGTATCCGTCATATCCAAGGTGCCCTCTGGCATTATTTTGCGCTGGTTGATCGACTATCGGGGAGACAGGTTCGTGAAAATCAACCTAGGTTCCGTCCTAGCCGAAGATGCATCGGCCATATATTTACCTTTAGACAAATTCTTGAACAGAACGTGAATTTGTCCGTCGAGGGCAGAGTTTATACTGCAAAAATGCGACCCGTATTGCCTTATGAATCAGAAACACGGCCTCTAAACACGGAGGACATACGAAAAATGCATTTTGACCTATTGGATTATTGATAGGGTATAATGGGAACGTCGGATTAGCAATACTGAGGTACGTCAGGTTTTAAAGAGACCACGATAGATAAACTACTCACAGTTCATAAGTTGCGCTGGTTAGGACGTGTACTTCACTTGTCGGAGGGCTGTCTGTCTCGCAAAGCCCGTTTCGCGCAGACCTGTACTGAGTAGAAGTGACAAAGAGGCTTGCACTGTATGATCTGGAAACGAAGTGTGAAAACACTAGCCAGTAAACTGAGTCGGATCGACAACAGCCATCTCCTTGAATGGGGAGCCGGGGGGTTGGCTTACTAATGGTTAATGGTACTGGCAGAAACGGACCAATCAGTCGTAGCACCTTTTCGGTGCCTAACTGCTATGCAACCATAGGAAGCACAAGGGCTGGGATACTCAGCCAAGAAGAAGTCAAGAGGCAGAGGTCGGGTTCGAACCACGGACTTTCCGGCCAGTAAATTCGCGCTCTAACCACTTGAGCCATCTCTTGGCCCAGTCGCGCAGTCAGCTGCACTCGTGCATCGAAGCTTTTGCCTTCAGTGCGTGGCTACCCAGTTCCAGAACCAACTGAACATTCCATCGCCTGCAATGCTTCGCTTTGTCCAATTGCCCCACATTCCGATGATGGAAACTAGAAGCTGAAAACAATGTACCCACGGTACGCTGTTTATAGCTGACAAATTGAAATGTTTGTCTCTCTCGGTCAACCCTGTATCAGATGGGGGCGACCATGGGTGGCCATTCCGTGACTTGGCAGTGAAGAAGCATTCACCGGTCGCGTTGTTAATCGCCGTCTCCCTGGATAGGGCCTGCGCGACGAGATACACCAACAGCTAGTGACCCTGACAGATATGGCTGGGCCAGGTGGCCAATAGCGGTCTTGCATCGAAGCTATTGCCTTCGCTGCGCAGCTCTCACTACCTGATAAACAGAACCATCTGCCATCAGTGGACTGATCCGGCCATTGCTTCCAACCCGTGGTTCTCACTCTATCCTCTGTGAACGAAGCTATAGCAGCTGGAACGACTACTTTGATACTTCCGTATCTGCACAACGGTCTAACTGCACATAACTGGAGAGGGGAAAATGAATGGTTTGCCTCACTGGCCATCAGAAAACATTCCTAAATAAACTCAATCGATAATTTCTTCCGCATTATCGCAGCATCCGACGTCGCAGCCAACATGAAATCGATGCGCGATTTGACATTGTAGACAATAACTCGGATGCGGTAACATAATAATATGGCCGATAGTAATACATCCTTGAATATGTGGTTTAATGTCCCAAGGCAAATGCAAAAATGCCCTACCAGGGCAGCAGGGACCCCATATGTTCTAGCGACAGCTTTCATTCTTTTTTACTTCATTGATTTTTTAATGATTTATATTAGTAAATAAAGACCGAATTACCTGAAATGACTACAGTAAAGTAGTAGACTAGAGCTATTTGTCAGATTCTTCTATTCGCCGGTCCCGTCTTCAGAACCCACACTCAGTTTTCGACAGAATTTATCAAAGAAATTTATCAGAAAGCAACATATAAGTGAGGAGCATTGCACAAAGATGAAATATCACGGCTCGAATGACTATAACTGTTGCTTTTGCAATAAACTGCTCATCGTTTGAAAGTTCGTTTCAAGTCTCTCTAATTCCTTGAGCAATTTCTGAATTTTATTCGTATCACCACTATTTCGTGCACGGATTAGTTGACCTGAAACGTCATCGATAGACGAAGCCAGTTTAGCCAGACTGTCGATAGCATCAGCGCTATTGAATTTCGATGTTGGACCATCAGAGGCAAGCGGTGCGGATGACTTCGCAGCTTTGGCAACACGTAGTTCCAGCTGTCGAAAGAGAAAAAACGTTTTTCCGTTTCAGTGGCATGAAAAATAGCACAATCCATAAGAAAAGGAGCAGAATGGCTTTGCAATGAAGTTCGTTTGCGTTTTCGTTGTCAGTAAAATAGTGGACTACCTTTCCATTTATACAACCCTTCTTAAATAACATGTTCGGCCGTATTTGGTTACAATGAAAAGTTCACTGACACTCATGTATTTGCGCATCGATTGTTTCAGCTTCCGCCTGCAATACGTAGCTATATACTCCGCCTCCCAAAATCATCGGCGAACAAAACTGTCAGCTATAACCACTATGCGGGGTTTTACAGGTGTGATGATGAACAAAACTGTCAGCTATAACCACTATGCGGGGTTTTACAGGTGGTGATGATGACTTGGTCACGGTGACGAAGTACGATTGCGGAGAAATACATCCGTTATGTATGACCAGTGGTTAGTAGGAACAGCAATCAAGAAAAGGCAACTGCCGCAGGAAAAAGTGGAAACAACTCAAACACTTACGCTAAAACAGAATTTCAGCAAACTAATTGTAGTAGCTGTAAACTCTAATTGCTGTGCGGCGTATCTGCCTGGTAGACGTCATCATCATTAATACTTGTAACGATCTAACTGTCTCACGTACTGTTCGTAAACCCAGCAAGCAAGCAAATGAGCGAAAATGCGCATTACGCAATACATTTATCGGCACGAGTCAATGAGTAGTTAAGGGGATCCGGACATCAGCTCAGGAACTCGGTACCTGTAGCGTTTAGCGAATACTGCGTCAAAAAATTTCTGAGCCGCACTGAACAACACACTTGTGATGACTTAGTACGCTGCCGGCATTGACCAGTACATATTGGGCGTAGTTTTACAACTAACTTGTATAGTGTAATTACCAAGACTCGAGACTCAAATGACTCCTTCTACATCATATCGAGGATAGTGTTGCAGCCTCGGAGGACAGCTGAAAGTCTAGCTCAGTGGAAACAAGAGCGACATGGAGCCACGTAGACTACGGAGTAGGCCACTTGGGCCAACATTGGATCGTGATTTATGCAGACCTAGCAGCCAATCACCGTACCTGGGCAGTGTGTAGCCGAGATATTACTAAAGCCGACTAATTCCGTCTTAGAAGGTAGATGCTTGAAAGTAAATTATATTAGACGCCGTACTTATTTTTCCGGCAGAATGGATTGCTTCCAGTAAATTTGCTCTTCTATCTTATTCAAGTGGTACCAGGACGACCAAGACCTATAGACTGACCTGTTCTGAGTTCGCATGGTAGGTGTATTTCTCGGAATCTGGAGTAATCACTTATCAACTTGAACGGAAACCCAATTGTCTGTGTCAACCTGATGTGTAAAAGTTACTGAATGGTTTGAAATTGGAGTTCAGTGTTGGTTTGTGCGCTACCCATTCTTGTGAATAGGGAATCGACAAACTGGAGTTATTCGAGTTACTAGTTGTTGCAATTGCACTGCAAATTATAGCTATGACCGATTTTCGCCCCATCAAGTGCGAGTGCGTTGTCCATCAAATCCCCGAACCGCAATTTCCGTAAATGTTGACCTTCGTATCTGTCTTGTGTAGCAAACTGTCAGCTCACGTAGCTACACTGAGAAATACCGAGTAGGAAAGCGAGTCTATCTGATACAAAATTCGAAAGCAAATCACGCTGCGGTCACACACTGATTATGTGATCTACCTAGCCGCTAACCTTTGTTGTATGATACATTCCACTGAAACGTACAAAGCAAGATAAAAAGCGGATTTTTGAAGTTCACATGGCAAACAACAGAAAATAAGTTACCAGATCTGAGCGGGTAACCATGACAGAACCAAATCTGATTACCGTTTGACCACTGCTAGCTATAAACTTAGACTGGGTCTGAAATAGAAATATCTACAGGCTATATTAGTTCCACATCCATCATTTTCACAACCTAAATAATCCACTTTTCGGAATTCCGATATCCTGCCAAGATTGACCATCTCCAACCACAAAGAAGTACGATTTGACAGACATTGACAGTAAAACCGACCACAGGCTCAACATGTGACAACTACCTGGAAAGCATTCGTATTGCCATTCTGTAACAGGTCACGTCATACTTAGGGATACCGAAGACGATGGATCCCAATTCATAGATATGCCGTCAAAGAATATAAAATAGCTTGAGAAGTTTGGAGATGCGCATTCGTTGCTGTTATGCGCAAAATCAGTATAAGGGTACCTTTCTCTTGAAGTTGAGAATTTATTGTTTCACATTCAAGCATCAGGTCTCAAAAAGGAGGGAGTAAGTAGTGTGATTTGTCTCTGAATCTGGATGACTATTCCTATATCACCTACATCCAGAATTATATGCAGTCTTAGCGATATTTTTCAACTCCTTACTGCATGGAACGCCTATGCTTTTTTAGTGCAATGACAGTGATTTCACATAGGCTTCAAGATTGTGATATTTAGTGCAGTAGTAAAACAAACTGATCTGAGCTCATTCTTACATGAAACGACAAACTAAACCACCATTCAATTAGCGTAGTGATCGGTTGGTGTTAACACGATATATTTTCAATGAATGATTTCGTAGTGATGGGCATTATTAATAAAGTTAAAAATAAAGTTAAAAAATAAAAATAAGTTACCTGAGCCAACGCTTGCTCCTCTTCGGCCCACCGAGCCGCCAGTTCATCTTGTCGCTGCGCCGTCAAAGATCCGTATTGCTGCAAAGTCGGGAGAGCTCTCAGTGGGGGCAAATTCGTTTGCAAAAATTGGCAAGCCATCTTACTGAGTGTGCGAAGTAACCGTATCATGGCCAAATTGGTTTGAGGCTTGGAGGCGTCACTTGGAGAACGTGGGTCACGATCAGGAGCCACCTTAGAAGCCATCTCGTCTAATCGGCGGCTGGAGTGAGCACAAAAACCAAACGAAACTATTTCAGGAATTGTATACGCCATAAGAGAACGAGAGCGATTGCTTATAGACTAGTCCTCCCATTCTCATACTGGTGTTCGTTATGATGACACCCTCACGAAACGGATTACATAATCCTCCACTCCCACCCCGTCACACTATCCTCTCCACGCTGTCTGGCACCCGGTACCCAAACCACCATTCTTGGGCTTAACATAGAGCGTGAGTGAGTGTTTCTTTTCAGCGCGACTAAGAGAATAACATAATGCCGAACGTGGGCACACAACAGAGCGAGAACACACTGACCGAGGTGATCAGACGTCAGACTTGCTGTCACACACAGTCATCGAGTACTTTTCACCTTAACCACGTGATGGTGTTAAGGCAACTCCATCCAATTTTGATAAGGAAAGCTGCTTATTGCTCGCAAATGCATTTACATTCATTATCGTCGACAGCAATAAACCAGTAATAAACACTGATGTTTAACTGTCATGGTCATTTGTGCTACTTGCATTAGCTCACAAAACTAAGTTTCCAGGGTTTCTTTCAATTCTGTAAACTGTGAGAGGTCGTGTTCAGTTGACAAACACTGTTGCTTTGATGCTGACAGAGCTACCGAACTACGTGTGGTGGATGACCCCAATGAATTCCTTTAAAGGAAGCACTTTAGCTTTAGTGATACAGAGTGAGGGTATAGTATGGCGACTGAGGAAGCGAGGAATTCCGCGGTCGAAAAGTAGCATCATATTAGGTAATGAGCAGAAAGTTCTGGCTGTATACTTGGCGACCGAACCCAGTAGGGAAATCTAAGGAATCAATAAATTGAAGTTAATGAGTTGATGGAGTCCTATAATCAGATTGGTCGCAGTTTGCATCATTTATGGAACAAAGTGTGGGCACGTGTTACTCAGTTTGGTGAAATTATTTAGTTTATTGAACATTGATGGTTCCCGAGAACTGGCTTTTCCGTTGCATTTCATAGTAGAATACCTGTCCTTGGTTTCAGATGGCCAGAGTTTATCAGCGGGCAAGGGAAAAGCATGCCGCTACGTCGGACAAGTCATTTCAGTACCCTCGATTACTGGTTATTGCTCTCCAAAAAAGATATGTCGTGGATGAAGTGTGGTGCCCAAAACGGCGTCCCCCCGCCCCATAGAGGATATTGAATCTCATCAACCAACACGCGGAAGTCGCCCTTCTGAAGGGTCCAATTAAAGAAAGCAGGCCCAAGAGAAGGAACCTAGGATTGATGTACTCGTCGCGCACGTACAGGACCTTTCCGCTCGACCGATTACTGCTAGCTATAAACGTAATCAGCCAATAGTAGGCGTTTTCCGGCGTATCGCACTGGTGGTGGAGGATTTTCGCGAAGTTAGTGGAAATACAAAAGACATCCAATGAACTAAAACGGCAAGTATGAAACTGTGTAGAGGGCAACATGACGGTATCCTTAACACTTGTCACGCTGAATTGCAGGTGAGACCTGATAATGTGAAGATCAGAGACGCAGCAGGAAACAAGTCAGGTGGTACCAGGAGCGGTATTCTTAACGAATCTCCGTCCAACTTCAATACTTTTTTCAGGAGACGGACGCTTGAGAGCAAGTATATGAGAAATGTAGTCACCTGGTCGTCTTTCCGTGCTATCAAATATGATGTTCAGTTGGGGCATAACGCCCTATACCGAAGAATCCACTCGCCTGTTCACACGGCATTTCAGTTAGGTATGTACAAGTTAAAGCTTCTCCATGAGTCGGTCAATTCAATTAATTAATTTACCGACACCCATTGACCGTCTATTTTTGACTATCTGTAATAAAAACTCTTTGGAAATTCGGCGCAATTTTGCTTTCGACTTGATTGGGAATCAAGAAGGAATCGGTTCAGTGGCTGTTCTGTTGGCGGGCGCACAATATCAACCCAAAAATTATGAGCTCGTCAACAACATATGTGCTGTCAGTGAAAGAAAGTTGGTTGAAACACAGATTTAATCCTAAGGTGTGATTAATACCGTGGGACGAGGATGCACAACTTAAAGGATAGAAACACAAGTACCCCTTCAGGGGCGAGATGGACCAAATGGTTACAGCGCGAATTCACTGACCGGAAGGTCCGTGGTTCGAACCCGACCTCTGCCACTCGACTTCCCCTGTCTAGGTTTGGTCAACCTGGCAGTATCCCAGCCCTTGTGCCTTCATCGTGGGACATGGCAGCTAGGCACCGAAAGAGTGCTACAGCTGAATGGTAACCTTTCATGTACCGAAAACTTAACCAACTAACAGCAGGCTTGTGCGCATTGGTCGCTGTAATGCTGGAGTGCGATAGTGAACGATGAAAACGATTCAAAAAAATAGCGTGCACCTCTGTGGCTAATTTGCTTTTATTCAGGGAAAACAAGTTAAACACTGATGTCATCGATATGAGCGGCAACGCTGTCAACCGTGAATACAAGCTTCAGGAACTCATTCAACTGACTCAATCACCAACCCTAACAGCAGGAAAACGGACAGAGCAAACAGTATGAAACTGAGGAGAATGTTGATCGCTCAAGATGTGTATGGATGAGCGGCAGTTGGATTGTTCGCTGAGCTAGGCGATTTGACTAAAGGCTACGATCTACTAATCAGGATCACAGCAGACATCATAGAAATGCAAAAAACACTGATGAACGACAATCAACGGTGAACTGGTCATGTCACCCCGACTAGTTAAGAAGCATACGCAAGAAATTAGCGGGTCATAGAAAGAACTAACCAGCAACTCGTTTCAGATAAAGAAATTGATGGGATTGCTACATATAAAAAGTGTATTACAACTTCGTTATTAGGAAGTAAGCAGACCAGGACAAAGTGGATACCCATAGAACGGACCTAGAGCACTTGAAAGTACAGATGCAAACCCTGGGGTCTGTAATGGATTCTGATTTAATAAAAACACAACGGAGCTATTCGACATCAAAAACATACCGGATAAAATCGATTTGTTGTAACGATTCCAACAGCTCGTGACGCATAGACTTGGCCATATCGAGGGCATAGCGTTGTTCACCGGAACTGAAAGCAGGATGAATGTAAACCGTGTGAGGATTCTAGAAACTACTGTAAGCCAGAAGAATCGAAAAACTGAATACTTGACCGACAGAGTGACAGGTTAGCCATATGTTGCTATGAAGTGTTATATGAATCTGAGGAATTTCACCCCCCTACGGCATATTTCCACTCAAGTATGAGCATCCCCAGAAACTTAAACGCTCATTTAATCTCGTGGTGTCAAAATGCAGCATTTCAGCTGGAATGCAACCTATGCCTTCCAGCGGTCTTCTCGTAACTCATATTTCTGTTGACTTTGATTCACCGTACAATAAAAATGCTTGACACAAATTCCTGGCCGTACCCAACCTCCCTCTGGTTACTTTAGTATATCTTCCGGAAGGTTCGGATACTCCGCCAACATTATTCCAGACGCAGTTCCGTATGTTTACACGAACTTTCCGACTGCGTTCGCACTGTATACGCTGTTTTCCAGCTGGTACCCATATGGCACCTAATTTGAAGCCTTCGATTCTGCCATGGTTATCGTTGTGACCTGTCACTCCACACAGCGGCAGTTAGTTCTTGTAGACTCACCTGCTCTAGCTGACGAAGTGTAACGACGTACGCTTTGTGCTTTGACGCTGGATCCGGTTGCATGCACAACCGCAGCGCGTAACTCGGTTTCAAATCCTACTCTAATTTTGCAAGATCGTCAAGATTAAGGTGTTTGAACATGCGAGCAAAAGTTGTCATGGGGAAGCCAGCCCCGTACACAGAGAGAAACCAACAACTCCAAATGAATTCGAGTGGGCCGCTCAGTGTTCGCATTCACTTGAAACGACCACGTCATTCAATGGAAGTGCACCTGAAATAAATCATGGCTTCGTTGTGAGGTGAGTTTGCAAAACTGCCCGCAATCCATACGTAGTTAGAGGATGTATTTCCAGTCAGCCCAATATCTAAGACAAAACGTCAGCGATTTCTCTTTATGGCAGTAAGGGGTCTATTTTTATAAATTGGAGTTTCTTTAGTATCGTCTCCCACTAGCAAGGTGGTGAGCTCAATCCTGAATAGTGGTTTACTTCTATACTGGGAAGTAAGTGTACGTGTGCACTGGAAGGAAATCTGCTGGCAACTCGAAGTAGGGAAAGTAATAATGGCAGGTAGCAAGAAGCAGTGAAACGCCTTTCCGAGATGCGGTAAACAGTACTGACCAGATGCACAAGACTAGCACGTGGAATTTGATTGAAGTTTCTTCTAATAACACGGTAGTCATTCTAGAACAAGTCAGGGGAGACGAGACGAGAACTAAGCGAAACATCAAGAAACTTAAGGATTTACGAAGTTGGGGGAGGGACTACAAAAATACCGAAGTCGAAGCTGTTCCCTCTCTCGAGCCAGACAGTGATATGGTAAGGGAGGTTCTCAACCTTAGTGCTGCCGAGGTTGTCATTACCGTCCGGCTAAAGTAAGTTGCCATCTGTGACGACCTCGTTGATGTTTGTCAAACAGACACACGTGTGATCCGGTAAATTCAAGGAATCGACACTTTTACGCAGAAGTAAAGAGGATGAAGCGAACATGTTCAGCGAGTTGTCCGATTGACATAGTCAACTTGCCCTTCAGTCACGAATGAGAAGAGACGGCCTAATTGACAGTGGTATGGTCTACTATCAGAGGATTCTACGGGTCAACAGTGTTTGTATAATTTTGCCGTAAACGTGTTTCAGGAACTGAAACGTGTTTTGGTAATGATTAAGCATTCGGACTTACTGTAAACTTTCGGCGACGGCCGAATATAAGGGAAGAGAATCGTTGACTTTCCGCATGTGTTCGCGTAGCTCCTACAGGTATGAACAAAACAGATCAATTGATAAGAGCTACGCTCAAGCAAGCAGACTGAATCAAAACAACAGTGAGTTCACCGGTGATTTCTCTCAATCAGGAAGTATTTTATCTTAGAAGTGTGGCTGCTGAGTTGTTTGACAGTAGTGTTGGGAGGCTAAGCACTAACAGAAGCAAACTAACAAGAATAGACGTAATGAGACACTCGTGCGGCTGCTGAAAACCCTACAGAAGTCCGTGACCGGTTTCGCCCTTCTTGGGGCTCATCAGGTGGGCGCAGTCCAAGGGTTTTCGTCAACCCTGTGTTCTAAGTGAACCAAAATTGTGCGAAATTAGCGAAGTACACTAATTTGCACACCAAGTTGGTTTTGACGGGAGATTCACCTGGAAGCCAGCTGAATCTCTTGTTCATGATGTTTTTAAGCAATTGAGGTTCAAGTAGAATATAAGGTTGACAGAAATTCGGGGACTGTACCTACTTGATGAGCCCCAAGAAGGGCAAAACCGGTCGTGTGCTGTCGAGGAGTCCTCAGCAACCATATGGGTAGCGTATTACATCTATACAATGTACCGCGAATGTATCTCGAATATCATCCCAAATGAAGCATCAGGCGGTCTGATTCAGTAGTCAGTGGCTTAAAAGCCTCATAAACGAGAATCTCCCGTCAAAACCAACTTGGTATGTGGATGAGTGTACTTCGCCACCGTAACACGAATTTTTTTAATTAACTAGATGTAAAGTTCCGTAGGATGCTCGGCACAGTAATCACCACTGCAGGTGACAATTCAAAGACTAGCGTTAGGCTTGGCATGCCAGAGAGACTAGGTTAAAAACCTCCGTTGTAGCTACAAACGTGCGACACTGTACACTCTTGGATGACCAAACACTTCCGCTGAATTTCTTGTATTAGTCTCCTGCCATGAAAAGGAATTTTTCCTCACTCCAGCAACATGGATATGCTTACATACTAAGCGACACTAATGGATACATACTATTGATACTAATGTGTCCATGCCGGGCGTACTATGCAACATAGGCCTTCGTGAACCACCTGCGTAGTTGATAATGGAATAAGAAATTGGCAAAAGAGGCGTATGACAGCAATGTTTCGTTGAACTCCATTGCTGAAAGGCTACCGGTAATGACGAAGAATACAGTGACGGTAAGCACAACTCGATAAGTTTGTCACCTGGACAGTTTGGTCATTATAAAGTCCTCACGCTCGAGATAACTTAGTGGTCAAGGCGCAAACTCACTGACCGAAAAGTTTGTAATTCGAACCCAATCCCGGCATATCGTCTACTTTTGTAGACGAGCTTGGGCAACCTGGCAATATCTCAGCCCTCGTGCTTACTTCAGACGGCATGGCAGCTGGGCACCGGAAGGGGACTGCCGCTGAACAAGGAAGACTACGATATAGTCCTTTTAGTCAAATTTCCAACAAGGTTTACTGTCAACATCCAAGAACGAGTGGAACAATAATAAACCTGCGACACAACGTCGAGAGGGGTATTCTTTCAGGACACTGAAGAACTGAAATCCAACCGCATTCAGCCTATCAGATTCAACCTCGTTATGGAAAGATAGTTACATCGTACATAAGTACCAGATGTTATCTGATCAAACAAGTAAACAAAACCCAGCGCCAGCTGTTCGAATATGTAGGAAGAATGTGGAGGAATTAGGGTGGTCTGAGGATGCACGATAAACAGCTACAGGAAGTATAGTAGGCTTCCAGTGGAAAACATGAGCCTTATATGGTCCTCAAATAGTGTTTCAAAATACCTGCCCATGTTTGTTGACCTACAGGAAACCGACATAGCAGAAGGTATGGACTTACTGAGTGAAGTGAAGCAACTGGTGAAGCACACTGACGAAACTGCAGGCGGTCCAGCTTCTTTTGCAAAAGGTCCTTGCAGACAGCACAGAGTCGCAAACAGTGAACTAGATAAAAAAAAAGATCAATTTAACTGGACCAACTATGTTTTGAAAAAGCCTGTAGCAAAAACTCACTTCCTTTGCCTCATCTTCTGAACACATGTAGCGGGAGATTTTTTTCGGATATTTCTCACCTCGGAGGCCTAAATAGTCTCCGTAGACTTTCTGAAAACAGCGTTTCGTCCCTAATCCATAAACTAGGACAGATCGGACAGCGCGATTGTAAACTCAGCCCTCGATATTCAAGATGATGTCACGTTGGTGCCACAAATGTCAGTCGGCGAACCCTGTCTTGACCCTTAAAAAATCGGGGAGTGATTTCGTCTTTCACCAGTCCGCCGGGACATATGCATCTGCCCAGACAGACAAACTTACCTACCACACCGATCAATTCACCTACAAGCATGAGGTCTGGCTTTGATCATACCAAATTTTGCATTGACGATTTACACCTCATACGTTCGAACCGCATACCGAACTGTGCAGCAGAATCATTTAAGTTATTTAAAGTAGTTTACATTTCTGAAGGGTCTGATCCAAGGATAGCAATATCGTTGGAGTAGTGCATGTCCGTGAGCAAACAAGTGGAGAGGATATTGGTCCCCAATGTGTTAGAATTAGGTAGGTAGTACATCGATTAGGAAGTTAAAGGAAAAGGGTGGCAGAGAACACCTCTGCTCGAAACCAGTGAGCTTGTTGTAAATGTAAGGAGAGGGTTTGCCGACGAGACGCACGTGCCCATGGAAGGAGGAGTACAGAGCCTTTACGAGACAAGAACTTAGAAGGGGCACCTTTCATCGTCAGGCACTATCAGTGTTTCTGACGACTAAAGGAGTCAACAGCAAACTAGGATCGAGAAAAACTATCCCTATCAGTCGCTGGAAAAAGTGATGCAGCCCCAACACTTGTCGCAAAATGAAGATATGATCGATGTCACTCAGGCCAGGGTAGATCTGATTCTCCCGGTGGAAGATCAACCTTTGAAGGATAACAGGATGCCACCAGAGAGCGCCTTGAAAGCCACGGCCACTAGACCGATACTCCGGTGGTTTTCGCACGATGTTCTCGCACTCTTCGTGACTGTTGGGGTTGACGTCCTACCTTAGGTATTCTTTCCGCATTCCGGATACTTTAGAGTAAAGTCGTTAGATCAGATATGACTAACTCTCCGTCTTCTTTAATGAGTGCAGGATGAAAACCGTCTGGACCAGCTGTCTTCTTGTGCTGAAGCGAGGAAACCACAGACTGAACTTACATTGTCGACAACAGATTCGTTTCGACATTCAACTCTCGTTCATTTGGTCCTTGAATTGATGGGGTCCAGTCGAATGGTTCTTCAATGTGCACAGCCCACCGTTTAAGTTTCTGTAAGTGAATTGAAGTCCTATCCTTTTTGGAAATAGTTTCACTAACACCTGTCATCTGACTGGTTGACAGGGTTAGCTCGCTTGCTTCCAGTTGCAAACGCTTTCTCCATTTCTCGGGCTTTTGTGATCTACCAGTGCTCTCAGTCAGTCCTTAGGTTCTACATTATTGGGCATTTGGTGAATCTGCACGCGCTACCATAGTCGTTTGTTGCTGGTATAATTTTCCTGTCTTCAATCAAAACTGCCGACCACAATGAGATCCGGTGTTCATTGGGGTGCGACAGCGATCTTGAGCAACCTGTGAGCATGGATTTTTCACTTTTCTTCAACAGTCCCCCAAATCACTATTACAACCATCGTATCCCCCGAGGTCTGTAGAGCTGCGGAGATGCTTTTAGGTTGGTGAACTGTAACTCTGCATCAACCGGTATGCTCCTGAAGAGAAGTAAACAGGATACGCATGTCCGCGCAATACCGTAGTCAGAGTTGTGATTTACTACAAAATGAACGACTAACGTTTACCGAAGTTCTCTACCGGTAACTGATTGTCATATGGCCCAAATAAGTCTGCAGGGGTGGTGGTCTTCAAATCACACGGTGTGAGTGCTTGTGGTGAAGTTTGTGCTGGCTAGAGACAGACGACGTTCAGCACATAATTGAGTAAATCGCTCCCCACTATCTATGCAGTGAGTCCCAACCCGGATCGGCCACCAAGACGGGCCTTCTCAGGATTTGGTTGGTCGACCCGAGGATTCATATTACCTGACAGGATCTGTACTCCGCGCTGACCGGGGCAACTGTGACAAATCTCAATACTGACTGTACTGACCGGAAGGCCCGTGGTTCGAATCCGACCTCTGCTTCTCGACTCCCCCTGTCTAAGCTTGGGCGACCTGACAATATCCCAGACATCGTGCTTACTTCGGGCAATATGGAAGCTAGGCACCGAAAAGGTGTTACCGCTGAACGACTCGACTTTCGACGATGACACAAAAAAACGCCGTTTACCAGACTGAGAGGCATTGGCACTAATAGGATCAGTCAACCGAGCAGCACAGAGACGACTAGTTGCTATAATCCGGTCCAGTAAAACGCACTTAGACCTGGGGTCGGACATAACTCTCACACTGCATGTACCACGAGCCATTGCGCCAGGATCACCAGATACTCAAAGAGTAAGGTGCGAAAAGTCCGAGTTCGTTCCGAGCGGTTTGATGCGTTTGACCTAACTGGGGTCTTATATGCGTGTTTCGGAGACACAACATACATCGATCGAAAGAGAGAACAAGGCCTGAGCAATAGATACCTGTTGCACAATTCGACACAGTACGGAAGTTCAAACCTGCAATGTAGAGCAGGTTTTCAGAATTTAATAACGATTTATTTCTATTTATTTAATTGGACAGCAGTTTAGATATTCAGACAGTTGATTGACAACTAAATCATGATTTGAATGAAGAATGTGTTAGTGAGAGTCGGTGAATGAAGAGCTGCAAGAGCAAATGATAGTTTCCGGATGTCCAGGCTGAAGAGTGGGGTTTGGCTGAGGTACCCCACCTTGAGACTTTGACTCGAAAGTCCAACCCACAAGGTAGTGGGAGGATGTATGATTTTGTTAGGGAACCCTCCTCATGGCCTCTGGCTCGAAAGTCTGAACCACGAAACAGCAAATGTTAGAGTCTTGTTGAGGGACTCTCCCCTGGAAGATTGACTCAACAGGTGGCTGGCATGGCCTGAGGGCGAAAACAGTATAGCATAATCACCTGACTTCTACGGCTGTACGACTGCACACAGTAGGTACCTTCTGGGCAGCCCCAGACTCGTAGGCCTCAAAATTATTCCGACCATTGAATAATGCGAACGCACTCAGAGTTAACCGTATGGCGATCACAGTGCACGAGTCTACACTGCCTTGAACGTGAAGATAATGCGTTTAGTAATTGGCACGCTGTTTTCTTACGTGAATCCAATTATTTCCTGCTGTGATAAAGAAACAAAGGAAGATATCCGTAGCGTCGGAAACACAACCTTCAAGGAAGGGACGCTATTGAACAGGCAATCAAGTTACCAACGCACAAAGCAAACCGCTCCTTCCCTGGTCAAGATGTTCTACGCAGACTGTGAACAGAAAACCCATCATTTGGGTTCCAGAATCCACTAAGTGAGTTGGCACTTCGAAAACAGCAAACCGAGGTTCCATAAGGGAAATGTGAATCATAAAGATGAACAGGATCAGTTGCGAACAGCAAGAGGGACATTCTGTAGCACGCTGCACGCCAAGCGATTCACAGAGGGAGCTCCCCCTGATCAAGATCAGGCCATAAAATAGCCAACCAAGAAACTTTAAGAGCATATAAACAACACAAGACTTACACGTAGAATCAGCCCGCTCTATATCTAGAACTGGAACAGGGTAGTCAGTGGAAGACAAGAAAATAACCTTCGAACCCAATGAAGACACGGGTGTCAGGTTGGACGACTCAATCATTTGAGAAGACGGTTCCGAACCCACTTTGTTTGTAAATTCAGAAACACCAAGTTGGTGAGTACCGATAGTTTCGAGAAGTCGGACAGCACTGATTCTGGGAAGAAAATAGCTGCAATCAGCGCACAGCACATGTCCACAAAGCCGGCAGTGATGTCGGCGACGGTAGATGGGGTTGTAATCCAAAATGGCATTAGTAATGCGAGTTATTGTGAGCTTGCTGCGCTGAGCAACGGTCGTCAATGGGTTAATACCGATTTGACTGGCAGATCGGGGTGGATTATGAGCGGATTCATCAACGGGATAGGCTTCTTCTAAACCCAACCCGAAAGTCTTTCCACAAGATGGACAAAGATCTACCTTCGTCGCATCAATCCACGAAATAACGGATTGTTCAAATTCTGAAAATAGAAACAAATATGTATTGAAGTCCACAAATTGCTTACCTCTTCTTTGTATCTTAGACATAGGTGGGGCGTTAATCAGCTTTTCTAGTCGGATAAGTAGGCTGTTGGTCTCAAGTGCATCCCTATTGACACGGGACCTCCGTAGTTTGTGAAACTCCGAAGTCAACGATTTGGACTGACCTATCCGATCTACTGTCGTATGAAAAACGCTTACCAAGTGGTTGCTTCTCAAAGCGAGTCTGTTCATAAAAGGCTAAGCTTATTGGGATATTATCAGGGAGCGCGACGGAATGACGGCGCTGGTCCAGAACACCACCGGTCGATCGCGAACAATCTGGGAAAAGTTATTATTCATAAGGTGACGCTCACACCGGTAGTGTCCGATTTATGCTCTGCTTCAAAGTGCACACGCAAGACTTCGGCCGTTCGGAACGATACCATACAGCCTGGGCAAATAAATCCCTCAATAATAGATTCGTCGAAAGACATTGATGATTACTACATTTATTGCTGGAGTTGATGCTCGGGATTTGAAGATTGATCATATACGTGTGATTAGAATCAGGTGGAGTTGAATTCAGTGTTTGTGATTCGATTTCCTCACTGAATCTGAAGGGTATTGCGCAGATATTGCACATGAAACGGACATGCCACAAGAAGAAGAGTGACACATGAAAACGAGGTTTTAGCCTTCCCTAAGATAAAGTAGGTATGCTGGAATGGAAAAATGGCAAATGAATACCACATTTGTATCATGACTCATATACAAGCACAAGTACAAATATACACGCATACATACTTCGTGATGTAAGCATATTTGTTTCTACCTCCTCCATTTGTAATAGTAGTAGACTCTAAAAAAGATAGAGCCCTGAGGTAATAGTTACTCTTTAAACCTGAAACTATCGGCACTGTTACCTCGGAACAACTTATTCACTTTTAGTCTCCCAGGCATGGAGAAAATGCGATCATAAGGCATCAAAGCGACCCATTCGCATTGGGCGCTGCTCAGCAGTGGACTCATTGGTCTTGCGGTTCCAATGTACGACAAGTACGCGCTTCTTACAGCTGACAGTGATGATGATGACTTGTTTCACTTCTCGTACAGCTAGCATACTCATACCACCATGTGGGACCTACCACTACGCCACTGTTAGACTCATCATTTTACTTGCGACCCAAAAATATTGATTCTCAGCATCTTCTGGACGTCAGTAAATGGAAACCCGAACAGAGCATCGATACATTTGTACGAAAATCGATTTCCCTTATGTGAACTCAGCTTGCTGTGTACCCGTGCGCGTCCACAGGAGTTCGCGTAGTGCCCTCAAAAGGGGTAAAGATTTAGAAGGTGAAACTTTGATAGCCAGGGACTTCCAAAGTTTGTGCCGATTGAGCGAGTCAAACACAGCCTTTAAATCAAGCAAATAACTAACGTTGGACGTTTGGAAGATTAGACTATTCGAGAGCCTACCTTTAAGTAAATATTCTCCCAAACACTTCCCTCTTTTCGACAAATTGACAAGGCTGTACCGCAGTGAAACACCAGTGCTATTCACTGGTTCTTCTTCCACTGTTGCTGTCAATGATGAAGCTTATGACGCCAAGAAAATGTCATCTACGTAGTCCAAGCCAACCTATCTTTCTTCGATACAAGGAGCTTCGATTCCATGAAGTGAGTTAGACGTAAATAGTAGTAAGAACATTCAAAATATTGGGGGGAGAGCTGGCTCGTCGAACTTCACTTCCAGGAAAACTTCAGGGCAGTGTGTTGTATACCCCTACGCGATCAGAAATATGAGAACGGAGCGCAAGAAGTATCGTTCCGAATTTCTGGGAAGTGCCCCTTTGACCAAGCATGCGTAAGGAATCTGATCTATATGCGGAGTCAAGTAATCCCTTAAAATCCATGGAAACTGCAACCATTAGAGGGCGTCACGTATGGTGCTTCCAAAGAACATCACGTTATATGAAGATATGCTCACTACACTCCCTACAACAGAAAACCCTGCTTTTTGCCCACGGATTTGCGCCTCACGTGACGGGGTTAGGTAGCAAAGTAGTACTGAAGTCAGTAACCGCGTTGATAAGTAATGCGGAGCTTAGACATCATCGCTCCAGCGAATGAACCGCTTGAATCACTATTCCATCGATATTATCATCGTCATCGTCATCGACAGCATGGCGTGTATTCAACACTAACGCTTCACTGCTATACTTCGATAAAATATGTACGAAGCGGCCATTCTTGTTCAGAGTGCAAGTGCGCACATTTTGGTGTGCTAAAGGGCGGTTACCATTCCAGGCTTTATTCCGCCAGTTCACGAACATGTGGTCTAATGATACCATATTGATTTCACTCGCCTGCATATTTTGGGATCCTTGGCGTGGACTAGATATAGAGAGCGAATCAAGACTTAGGTAACTTATGAACGACAAGAAGTGTGGTGGACCCATACCGAGTCTTTGGGGAAAAAATAGCCGTTGGGAACCAGCGAAAAGGGTCATCTTAGTCTTGTACTGCAGACGCACTTCCGCAGTGGGAACCCTTGAACTATGCACGCAACCAAATTGAGACACCGAAAGTTCAGAGTTTTCCGCAGTCTCCCAAGTGTTTAATGTCAAAATAAAAAGATATCCACCAGGTGAACATTCCTCTCCGTCCAAAATTCACAAACCGGCCCCATATGGTCTGACCATTCTGAATCTATATTGACTGGGATAGAGCGGGCCAAGAGTCTACGTGAAGCCAAGCCAACGTTCCAATGCCGGTGCCCTCCAAATGGATTAAGACGCTGCAAAGCAGCGGTTGGACTGGCACCTTCCTCTGAATGATTAAAAGGGCGTCTACATGTCATTCAGAGGAGACTCAACAAACGCCTTTGTCGTGCAGGGTGAGAATGAACCAACAGCCATCCCGAGGACAGGTGCCAAAAAGGATTTGGGCATCCATATCTCTTCAAACACGCCCTTCTCAATGCGCCATGAGAAATTGGCCCAAAAGGGATTCGCCGTTCTGTGGATGATTCGGCGCATTACTCCCGTATTCCTCCGTATCACCCACATGTCCTTCAAATACTTTTCTGGTCCTAAGTCAGACATCTTGTTGATTATGCCAACCAAGTTTTCTACTCAGGACGCACGAAGGACATAACCCTCATTGAGCGTGTCCAGCGAGCTGATACGAGAATGATTATCGGCCTTAAATTCGTGGACGATGAAACGCGTCTCGTGATGCTTGACCTCTTTCCTCCGGAGTATTGTCAACTCCGAGGGGACCTGATTCTTACTTGTGCCTCATTTGGATAAAAATTGACCAACAGGTTTTTCACCGTTGACCCAGCAAACACACGACGGAGACATGGTAAGAAGACTCTCCAGCTCAGAGCGCACACTTTCATTAGGCAAGTTTTTCTCATTTCAGAACAGAACACCCCCACAATTTTCAGGCGTTGGCAAGAGGCATTGAGCAAAGTTCTCTGTTCTGATTGGTCGATGTTCTAACAAATCAGAGCGTGGATGTTTTCGAATTGTACCGTATACGCGACATTTGTACATTCCAACGTGATCAGTAGCTTCAGATCAAAATTAATCTGCCAGAATCCCTGGTATTTTGGGTGAAAAGACTTTTCGAAAAGTCACGTCTCTTCCGGCCGCGGATTTTCTTGGCTATACGTAGACAGCTGGTGTTTTAGCGGCACATTTTCCAAGACAAAATGAGCCCTAATAGGAATATTTTTTGCTAGCATTAACTTCTTCCCAGTTCAGCAAACAATGGCGTGGCTTATCACAATGTGGAAACATACGTAACTATTTTTATCCGATACAGTATGCATTTCTTTTCACGTAAAATTTCAAACGCTATATTGAATGCGGATGGTATCAGGCCGATTCTCGTCGGTAGGTATATGGTGTCCTGTATCATTCTTTTGCTTCCATGATAACATTGCGTATTTTGTCAGTTGCATGAAAGTTCTTTCGTTGAATACGAAAAACCACAAAAAACACACTTTTTATGAATAGACTGAATAAAAACATGGTAACCTGCATCGACATTCTCCTCTGACTTCGCTCAGGCCTACAGGAGTCATTCGAGGGCTTCATGTGCAATCAAAACATTTCATATTGTCTGAGAAATTTATTTTATGTTAGTACCATTCAACAGAAGACCTATGGACAACCATGAGTGTATTATTATTTATTCTCTGACTACGAACTATTTTAAAGAAAACGATTCCTAGTGAGTCTGTTCGATCTGACTTATTTATTATTGTACAATTAAGCTTGATTTATTATTTTAATTCTTTGCAGCACACTCCTGGTTAATTAGCCTTTTGGATGGCCAGACCGCTATGGGTGCAATGTTCTCCAGAAGTTTCGTGAGTCAAATAAATACGTTTTTGTAAAACGTTGCACTTCGCTGCATGTGTGCTCAAGACAAGAAAGACCGTAGTGTCTCACTTTTGTTGGAACTTTTTAATTGGTATTTCTTCCTAGTTTTTGGAACCCTTTAAGTTTTACATCTGCAATACTGTAGCCTCAGGTATGATTCAGACACGTTTTTTGATAAATTGGCACCTGTCCAGTTTTCATCCTTCATGGCATTTCAGAAGGTGCTACAAGATTGGATGAGAGATTTGTGTAGACAGGAGTTACTCCTGTGGTCGGCTGTTATTTTTTGCCATTCGCAATGTGAAGGTTTGCCGCCAGTAAGCAGCACATTTACCATGATAGCAAGCTCTGTGCCAAAAATCAACCTACGTTCATGGATCATCATCATTTGCGAGCCTTATATTCTTCAAACATAGCACGAGTTACCCAAACGCGATGGATGTGTTTGAACATATATGTTCGAATATATGTTTACTCGGAATAAACATTTCCGAGGTGCAAAAACACAAGGTTCAGCATCTGTCTAGTCGGACAGGTGATGCAAGATAAGGGTGGGTTACCGGAGTTGGCTGCAGGAGAACGCATTAAACATTGTCTCAGCTATGAAGTAGTAACCCTGAAAGCATCGTAGGTTCCGAGACATCAATTCCTTTTGCCGAATATCGATTGGCATGCTCTACGGTCGTTAAAATTTATGATTCACAAAGCGGGTTTGGTAGTGTTGATTGTTACTGAGACCTCCGGTTCCGGAACCTAATTGTGGCGGCGCTCGTATTCCCACAGCTCGTGATGCGGTGCCACCTTGTGAAGAACGCACATTGCGATTAAGTGCTGGAAGCACTTTTGTGATCCATACGCACTCCAAGCTGAGTATATATTCTTGGTATCTGGTGGCCTAACTCCCGCCGGCTGATTTTGTAAAGGTGCGAATTTGGCCCATTGTGATTGCCGCGGATATCTCAGCGTATGCATTAAACACATTCACGCACACGTTGGCTCCGAGACTTCCCGTAGTTCTAACATCGCAAGTACTAAACAAAAGGTGGTCTTTGTCTCAACCAGACTGGCACAGAGTTCTGTTCGTTTTCTGTTCGATA